CACGCAGCACCTATCATATACGCCCATGGGACAATGGAAACCGCACACCATGACCCCAAAGCAGAAGGAACAACAACGACTGCGTCAGATATGGAAGCGAGCTCAGAAAATGATGAGCGAGCACTACGTAGAGCCAAATCCTGGAGAAAAAAGTGAAAAACATAGTCAAACAGTGGGGAGTGGAACACTCCCCTCGAGGGAAGTCGAACAAGATACCTTCCGCTGTGAAAACTGCGAAGTTGATAGCTCCAAAGTTACAGACTCACCAGTACCAATCCAAGTCTTAATTGATCTGAATCAAGAAGAACAAGGAGGACTCTTAGGAGAACTCCCAGAACCGCAACCAAACGAGCCGAATATCTTCACCAGGCATACATGGCCGGAGAATCCAGCAAGAGTAACGAAGATCCTATCAGAAGTCACGCTCGGCAAAGACATCACGGCAGATGAAAAGCAGCAGCTAGAAGACCTCATCCAACGCAATGCAGACGTCTTCGCACTATCCCTCAAAGAAGTCAAGCCAATCCCGGACGCATATGTCAACCTCAATGTCCCAGAAGCAGCAATGTTCAACTTACGAATCCACCAGAGACCACTAATGCCAGACCAATCCCGATTCTTCAGTGCTCGTATCGACGACATGCTAGAGGCAGGAATCATCGAACATGCGCCGGCAGAACTCGTTAAATGTGCTGCAACTACGGTAATCGCACAAAAAGCTCACGAACCTACAGGATTATCATGGGAGGAACTCCAACAGCGCATCAATGACCAATGCAGAACCACGGGAGAACAACCAATGTTCGAACTCCCGGAATGAGAAGTTGAAGCGGTGCCACCAAAGCAACATAAAGAAGCCCCAAGGAAATGGCGTATATGTCAGAACTTCGGACAACTCAATAGAGTCACCGAAATAGCGCCTATGCCTCAAGGCGATCTTTTAGCGAAACAACAGCGTCTAAGTGGACATAGGTACGTATCAGTGTTTGATTTCGCATCAGGATTCTATGCCCTCCAAGTACCAGACAAATGGTGCCCGTATCTAGCCTTTTACGTCGAAGGTAGAGGCTATTTCTGGTACAAAAGAATGCCGATGGGAATAACGGGAGCGCCAACAATGTTCTGCGAAGCCGTCGCAATAAGACTTCAAGACTTCTTGGTGAGCTACACTATGGAAATCTTCATGGATGACGGAGGTTGCTCGGCAGACACGTTCAAAGATATGATGGAAAAACTCGAAGCTATCTTCAAACGCTTCAGGGAGTGCGAATTTTCAATAGCGCCATTGAAAACACGTCTCATGGTCACCGAAACCGAATTCGCAGGTGCCACAATAGGACCTGCAGGAGTCAAATCGGACCTGTCGAAACTTACAGCAATAGTCGATTGGCCGCAACCGGAAGACACACTAGACTTAGTATCATTTCTCGGACTCACAGGACATTATCGTACACTGATCAAAGCTTACGCTAAACGTGAAGCACCACTCAGAGACCTCTTGAAGGATGTACCTCTCCCAGCGCAGTACAACAAGACCACCTACAAGAGGATAATGAGTAGCTACAAACTTACGGCTCACTGGAAAGCGGAACATACGCGAGCATTCTTGCACCTCAAATCAGCAGTCACATCACGACCGGTAGTACAAGGACCAAGATACGACAGATCACCATTCGTCCTAACAACGGATGGCTGCGCCGAAGGATTCGCGGGAGTACTAGCGCAAAAAGTCAGAACGCAGACCCCAGAAGGATGATGGATAGAGAAATTACACCCCATCGGATTCGCCTCAAAACGAACCTCAAAGGCAGAACAACGATACAAGTCGTATCTCCTAGAATTTGCTGCATTAAAGTTTGCACTGGATAAGTTCTCAAATATTGTTTGGGGATTCCCAGTGGAAATAGAGACTGACTGTAACGCACTGAAAGACACTCTGCTCAACCCCAACCTTACAGCGGCCCATGCACGATGGCGAGAAGGCATCCTGTCTTACAACATCTCAGACGTTAGACATGTACCAGGGAAATTGAACGTCGTTGCTGATGGACTGAGTCGTAAATGGGAGGGACAACCACTGTAGAGACTCGTGCATCTCATAGTGTGATATGGCGCTTTACTACTAGGGAGTATACAGCACCAACTCGCAGCATCACTCTGTGTACCATCCACAGTGATTCCTATATGACGCGCAGCTTTCCCACGCAACGCGCGCCATGCGCGCACCATTCTCGCGCTTCACGATGTATACGCGCGCGCGTTCCTGTGCTTGCGCGCCCTATAGCGCCAGCCATCCAGATGCATCCATCCACTGTCCACCAAGCTCTCTAGTGTGTATATTTCCATTTCCTTTATTAGCATAGTTCCACCTTTATTTTTATTATAGTTTCTCACTCATATATATTTTTACATACCTACTCGGTAGCGCTTCGGCTCCGCATGAGCGCGCTTAGGCGCGCTATATAAGTGCCAGCAGTACATACTATTATTTACCTTACTTTTCACCCAACTTTACCTAGTACTTACTACTTAGAAAGTTGCAGTAGAAATCTATTCATTAGCACAACACATCTCACATCCTTTATCTTGCTTATATCTTCACATAAGTTTAGTCTCTCTTATTTCCGCTTACATGCGCGCGCTTTCCCGCGCTTTGCGCTAATACACGCGCGTGTTCCCGCGCCTTGCGCGCACCTGCGCTTTCTCGCGCTTCGCTGAAGCACGTACCTCTAGATCTCCGCTGCACCTGCTTCCCCTTTAGGGTCGAATGCACTTGCCATCTCAAGTATCGCAGACTAGGCAATGCACGACCTACAACTTTTTAGATACAGTCAGGAGCATTTCTTTGTTCCTCTCAGTATAGTTGTTTCTACACCGCGTATACCAGGAGATGGAAGTGAGTGGACCATTAATGAGGACTGGGAAGCACGTACCAGACTCGTCAACGACATCATGCACATATCGGAAACAGGACCCCAAGATAGAAGCATTACGAACTCGGTTCGCAAACGAACCAGTATTTCAAGAGATAGTGGAAGCCATCTACAACCTAGACCATACTGAAGACCTAGGCAAGAGAAGGTGCGCGAAACACCGAGCCTCGGAATACTTCATCGACGAAGGTAAGCTTTGGCGACTCAAAAGTAGCAACACGACAAGAGCCAAGTCAAGAGTTGAATGCGTCACTAAAGAAGAAGCCAAAGAATTAGCTGAACGAGCCCATTCAGAAGGAGGACATTGGGGACGCGATGCGATTAAACTAACACTTTTAGATCATATTTGCAGTCTGAAACTCGACGCATCAATCCTAGAAGCTGTCAAAAACTGCGCTAAGTGCAAAAATTTCGGACCCACATATATGCACTCACGATTAGAACCAATCACCAGACGTCACCCGTTCGAGCTCTTAGTAGGAGACTACCTGTCCCTTCCCAAAGGGAAAGGAGGGCATAGCACGCTAGGCGTTTACCTCGACACGTTCTCGCAACACGTATGGGTATTCAAGTATAAGACTGCCGGAAGCGCAAACACCACGATCGATAGCCTAAAGCAAATCTTCAACACGTTTATTGCACCAGAAACGTTCATGGCCGACGGAGGAAGACACTAATAACGATGCAGTGAGAGAGTTTTGCATGTCAAGAGCAAGTAAACTACACACCGTTGCAGCATATTTGCCGTGGATAAACGGCCTTGTCGAAGGAACAAACAAGCTGTTACTTCACGTCCTAAAGCACCTATGTGCACCAGCTTTAGGAGAGGACAACGTCGAAGAAGCATCCTGGAACAAACTCCCAGCATCCTGGCCAGACCATCTAGACGAAGCAGTTTACGCACTTAATCACCGCCTCCTTCCAGCTCTTAAGTTCTCACCAAAGGAGCTTCTACTAGGATTAATCGTCAACATGCCTCCAACGCCGCTAGAAGAGAGCACATCAATACTCAGAAGCACAGACGCATCAACGCAGATCGCGTACATTGAACAACAACGTCTAGACGGTTACGAAGAGGTAGTCAGACACGTGATCAAAAGGAAGGCTGCATTCAGCAAAAAACTCTTGCAAAGATCACCTAGGGAAGTTACTTTCAAAATCGGCCAGTTAGTTCAAGTTTACCGCAGTGACCTAGATTATACATTCAAAACGGAACGGAAACTAATTCCGAAGTGGTCCATACCACGACGAATACAATCACGGAACCTGAACTCATACAAACTGGAAACCATGGAAGGAGGTTCACTACAAGGAGACTTCAGTACCAGACGCCTACATGGATTCACGCCGAGAGAAGGAACTAAGCTTGCAAGAGACCAAGACGCCTATGAAAGAAAACTCCAGGAAGCAGGACGAGGAGATGCGGAGAAGCCGGAAGACACAATGGGGAAAGAAACAACAGTCGAAGAAGAAGTAGATGAAACAAACGGAACAACAGAAACAGATAATGAAAACGAAACAGATATAGTAGAGATAGAAGGAGAGCGGGAAGTGGTATCGAGAAGATAGTATGGAGAGAGCAGCAGAGTAGAAGCTAACGTTGTGAGGACGGCGTCGAGGGCGGCGCCGGTTGTTTTTAGGGGGGTGCATGGAGTAGGGGGTCCTAGAGCCGAAGAGATGCAGAGAGCCTTCCAAGGCAGATTCCGAAGGCTTAGTCAGCCGGAACAACCATAGAGAGCACAGCATACGAGTACACACACACAACCACATACGAGAGCACAGTCGAGACACCAAGCACTACTCCATCGTCCTGCTCAGAAGTTTAAATGACAGTCGTAACGGCTAACAGGAAAGGATAAAGAACAATATGGCGAGGTCATGAGGACCTCGTTACAGTCGCATTCGGGCTAGGCTGGACTCGCGAAAGCAATCATTAATCACTATTGCCACCTATCACAGTCTTCACCATGTGGTTTGTGACGTGTCGTAAGTCCCCCGATACCAGCGTCAACGACCCATGGATATTATAAGATGGAAGCAGCGAGGGGCTGCCTGAAAGTAACCGATATGTCTCATCAAATCCTGTCAGAATTCGACATCGTTTTTGCTGGAGGTAAGCAAATCACATATTGTAGTCGTTTACCCTCTTCACACATCACTCTGTACAGGTGGCACTACAGCTTGCGTTGTCGCAGGTCGCTTGGCTGCATATGATCCCTCGCTCAGGATCTTGATTCTGGAAGCGGGTCAACACACCCTCAACAAACCTATTCATGTCCAACCCTCTCAAGCTCGCTTCAACCAAGAACCGACGAGCACCACGGTTACATTCAACATAGGAAATCCATCTCCTCGTCTCAACGGCCGTGCGCCGGCCGTTCCTTCCGGTCGTTGCGTTGGTGGAGGCTCATGTGTGAATTGTGCGTAGCATACTTGCAGCGATGAACAAGATTCTAATAGCTAGACAGCTATGGTATACACTCGCGCACCTGCTTCGGACTATGATGATTGGGGAGTTAATGGTTGGGAATCTGAAAATCTGATTCCTCTCATGAAGAAGGTTTCAAATTCGTCTTCAGGATATTTGTTCAAATAGCTTATACATTTCCTTTATAGCTGGAGACATATGAGGTGCAGCCCGATCGTTCAACCCACGGCTATGACGGGCCTATCAAAGTGTCATCTGGTGGGTGTAAAACGGGTATCTTCAACGAATTCATCCAGGTTGGCACGACCTATCACAAGAGGCGGTATGCCGACGATACCGACGATTTGGAAACATGCAACACATACAGTGTAAGCTATCATGTTCCCTTCCTAACTGCGACAAGTAATCAGATCTATCTCAGCCGTCTCAGAAGTGAGTCCCTTTACTCCCAGGCAATTGCGAATTCTTGGCTCATATACAAAAAATACATTGATGGGACAACCGGAAGGCGTTCTGACACAGCCCACCACTATGTTTACAACCAAACTCACAATCCAAATTTACACATCTGGGACGGAAAGCGCGTAAAGCGTATAATCTTCGAGTAAGTGACCACTTGGAATCACAACCGCAGCAACCCGTTGACAGCTTTCTGAATGATAGGGACAATCGTGCTGTGGGTGTCGAGTTCACCAGCGACCCAGTGTCTTGCCCAGATGCGGATCAATTGTTGAGTATTGTAAGAGCATCAAAACTTGTTGTTGTCTCTGCTGGGGCGTTCGGTTCTCCGACCATTCTGGAGAGGTCTGGGATTGGTGCCGAGGCGATCCTCAAACGGTGCGGTATCGAGCAACTAGTGAATTTGCCTGGCGTCGGAGAAAATTATCAAGGTGCACTTTGATCCATGTATTCTATGAGCTTGGCTTATGATGGTCAGATCACTATCTCGTCCTTGTTCCATACCTGGCTGCCAACGAGATCATTACCACTGACACCCCCTCTCGTGGGGAAAGTACTCCACAAGGTAGGCATGTTTCTCCCCATGATTCTAGCACTTTTACAACTACTGAAATGTAGAAAACCTTGCACAACGGAACGACAGCAGCAAGTCACTGATGGCACAAAAGTTGGTGCAAGTTGTTATCACTGCTGGTATCGTGCTGAATGGAATATCAGTGGCATCAATTCGAAAATCAAGTGGCGTCCTGATGACGAAGAATTGAAAGCCATGGATCCAGCTTTTCAACTACGCTGGAAAGAGTTCTTCCAGGACAAGCCAGACAAGGCTGTTGCAATATTTGCTCCTTTTGCGCGGTGCGTACATGTTGTTTAGCTTTAATGATATAAGAATGCTCATGACAGCCAGATATCTTCCACCTTACTCGAGGCCGCTCTCGAGCATCCTTCCTTCTCGCAGCTACATGACTGCCTGTTGTTATACAGTACTGCTCTCCGCCGAACCTACTGTTTTTTTTGTTAATCTTTTCATAGCTTTACTCCGCGTCTGTCGGAAGCGTTCATATCAACGTGACAGAGGACGGCAAAGAAGAAATGGACTTTAATACAGGCTTCCTAGATGAGTGAGTGGACGTATTTCATTTAGAGCACTTTGCGCGACAAGACACTACACGCAGTCCATCCGATATGGTACCTCTTAACTTCGCGTACAAAAAGACTCGCGAAATTTTTCGACGCATGGCTTCCTACCGGGGTGAAGTCACTGCCGGCCATCCTGATTTCCCAGAGGGAAGCGCTGCAGCTTGCAGAGAAACCTCTGGGCCAGTGGACTTGGATGCGCCTGACATCGTCTACACTGCCGAAGATGACGAAGCGATCGATCGATTCCTCCGCGACATCGGTAAGTGCCCACTTGTCATCCCCCATTGACACTGTCACTATAAAATTCCCAATCGAACATCAGTGCAAACGGCGTGCCACTCGGTATGTACGGCTGAACCTTTCACAATATCATATCTTATCTTTGTATTTGTAGCTTGGGACTTGTGCCATGAAACCGGAGGCAGATCATGGAGTCGTCGACGCTCGGCTTAATGTATATGGGGTGTCGAATCTGAAAGTTGCAGATCTGTCCATTTCGCCATTGAATGTTGGCACGGTGAGTACTCAACAAGGAATTGTTAATGTGCGATCTAACGATATACACAGAATACTTATTCGACGGCACTTCTCATCGGAGAGCGGGCTGCGATGATCATTGCTGAAGACTTGGGCATCGGTTGTATTTGATTTGTATCGTCAGAGGCGTATTTAATTAGACTTCCAGCGGTTTCTCGTCGTCTAAGTTTGCATCTGCCATAGCATTACACTGGTCAGTGCGACTCTTGTCACGGGCTCGACGGGCCTCGCTCTTGCATGGAATGTCGATGCATGATGTAAATGTCACAACGCGACTCCTCCTGCGACTGACCGAGTGAGCCAATCTGCCGGTGTTGTCATCGTTGTGACCCCCATTAGGGTTGAAGTACTTTTGCCCCCAACATCTGTAAGACTTTTTCATCTCTAGCCGATCTACAAAAATAGACTCGAAAAACATAGACCCCTAAGTCTTGTTCTGAGGTGTGCGCGTGATCCATGTGATGGCTTACGGAGCAAGGTCGCATTCAGGCTAGGCTGGTCCCTATCAGTCTTCACCGTGTGAAAATACTGCGCCAAGTAATACTGCTGCGGGCGGTGTTCATAAACAGTGAGTGCGCATTAACTACACTTATTTACTGCTAATCGATAAACGATAAAAAATCTTTTAGATTGCATTGTAGTCTGATTCCTCCGCATACAATGTTCTTTTCTTTTCTCTTCAATGAGTGATTGCGTAGTTGCGGGCATTTGTCTGAAGCCTGACACGGTCAATGGCACCTTTCTTCGCGTTCTCGGTCTTCCTGGACTCCAGTGACACCTGTGTACAGCCCCACAGCTCGGGCATGTGCATGAGGATTGGTAGCTGAGCATGCTAACTCTTCGTTAGATGTAGTATACGAGTAGGGCGGCCATGGTCACGATTGTCATTGTGTTCGTGACATATGCCACCATGATATTAGTATGGATGTATAGAACTTTTCCGGGGTATTCCTGATGAACGAGTTTTCTTCCGCAGTCATTGGAAGCGTGCAGTTGACTGATGAGTGTGAATTTGTGTGTGGCAGGATGTGCGATGGTTTAGCAAGTTGGCTCATCAGAAACAATAGTCCAAGACACGTACGCAATGTTCGAAACCCATCTGCAGTTCCAGCATCATCACTCCGTCCCTTATCGCCTCCTTGAGCTTGATCCCTGTCGTCCTTGTTAACCTCGCACACAGAAGATTGCAAGACATACTAGTAGACTGATAAATTTGACCATTGCTAGTGCGACACAAGTTGCTCAAGCCACCGATAGCAGAAAGTCAGCTTGATTTGGAATTGAATATGAGTTACTGACAGCACCTTATATCGCGGGCACCTTCTTTCCATATTTGGGGGGTGCTGCAATACTTATAAGCTTATGGTGCCCGCGACACCCGCGATAAGGTGCTGCGACACTAGTATACTTATGTACTAGTGCCCGTGTGATTTGTGATGCATGTGTCGTCAGTCGGAGTCTCCCAATACCGGCGTCAACTACCCATGAATGTTATAAGATGGAAGCATGCAGCGACTCGGGGCTGCCTGAAAGTAACCCTCCACATCTGACATGTCTCATCCAATCCTGTCAGAATTCGACATCGTTTTTGCTGGAGGTAAGCAAATAACATCTTGTAGTGGATTGTCCTCTTCACACCGTGACATTACTCTGTACAGGTGGCACTACAGCTTGTGTTGTCGCAGGTCGCTTGGCTGCATATGATCCCTCGCTCAGGATCTTGATTCTGGAAGCGGGTCAACACACCCTCAATAAACCTATTCATCAGTGAACCGGTGAAGAAAGTAGAAAGCCATATATCACAATATATAGTACACAATCGCACACATCAGCATAATTCTGCCATCGGTCATTACATTATCATATTTGACCTTGTAGAGGAAAGAAGCGTTTTTCATTTTCTTATATCTGCTTCCGATGTCAAAGCTACTCAGGAAAAACCTCCTTCTCAAATTGGATGAAATGCGATCCAACTTGCACAAATCTGCAAGAATTTGACGATTTGGCAATCTGTCCAATTATTTTAATCCCTTTCAAATTTTCGTAAATAGGATCTCAATTCACGACAATACTAGCACATTATTTTCAGGCAGCTTTTCCAATTCAATTAAATGATATCAAGCAAATTCCATTAAATTTTAAATCTGACATAAACAGCGAACATCTATCTATCTATTATAGACGAGAGCGAGTGAGAGATATGTTGTTGTGTCGTCGTTGTATTGTCGTCGTCGTGTCATTGTTGTATCCGTCGTCATCATCGTTGTGTCGTCGTCGTTGTGTCGTTGTGTTATCGTCATCGTCGTCTCGCATCATGTCATCGCGTCGTCGTCGTGTCATCGTCATCTCGTCGTCGTTGTCGTCTCGTCATTGTCGCATCGCGTCGTCGTTGTCGTCGCATCGCATTGTCGTCGCATCGTGTCGTTGTCGTCGCATCGTGTCGTTGTCGTCGCATTGCGTCGCGTCGTCGTCGTCATTGTCGTCGTCGTGTCGTCGTCATTGTCGTCGTCGTATCGTCGTCGTCATCGTCGTCGTCGTATCGTCGTCATTGTCGTCGTCGTCGTGTCGTCGTCATTGTCGTCGTCGTCGTCATATCGTCGTCGTCGTGTCGTCGTCGTCGTGTCGTCGTCGTCGTGTCGTCGTCATTGTCGTTGTATCGTCGTCGTCGTGTTGATGTTGTTGGGTTGTTGCTGTCGGGTCATCGTCGTTGTCATCGCACCATCATCGTCGGCCAAAGTGGCAAGTGAGAGTAGCGATGAGTGAGAGCGAGTGAGAGCGGGAAGAAAAGTTCAAGTTGAACTTTTGTGAGCGCACCGTCACATGAACAAACATATACAAATGTTGGACTTAGGATATTTCCAGCGCTGTAGCACAATTGATCCCGCTGATGCCTTGTAGAGCGCCGCTGTACTTTCACATTTGCAATAAGCAGCAATCAGAAACATGTAAAGCATTGTTTTGAAAATACTTAATGTAGTCTTATTGAAAGCGGAGGCCGCTGGAAGCGGTACAGCCAGTTTCAAAAGTTGTCCGCTAAAGGTATCTTCTCACGAGAAGGGCTTGAATAGCATTGTAATGGGATAAATAAATAGGGCCAAACGACAATGCACGAAATAATTGGGATAAGTCTACTACCACCCCTCATTATCTGAAAAGGAGGAATGTCATAGCTTTGTGACTAAATCTAATGGTATTTTATATTTGTCGACAAATGCCCGAGGCTCTTTCCATCAAAAGGCCTTAAATAACATTGTAATTAAAAAACAAGATCAGGTAAGATGTCGAAGCTCAAAACAATTGGCTCAGGTATACTACCACTACTCATTGGCTGCAAAGGCGGAATGTCCCAGGATTGTTATAAATCATTCATGTTAAGCTGGATTTACAAGCATACATGAGTATATATGTGCAACTCAAATTGCTCGCAGTATATAAGCTAATATTTGGCGGCAGCAGAATTACATCGTGCTATACTTCCCACGGCTACAATATCGAGGACTCATCAATTCACTGATGTCATGTCCAACCCTCTCAAGCTCTCCTCAACCTAGCACCGACCAGCACCACGGTTACATTCAACATAGGGAATCCATCTCCTCATCTCAACGGCCGTGCGCCGATCGTTTATTCCGGTCGTTGCGTAGGTGGAGGCTCATGCGTGAATTGTGCGTAGCATACTTGCAATGATGAACGATAATCTAATAACGAGACAGTTATGGCATATACACGTGCACCTGCTTCGGACTATGATGATTGGGGAGTTGATGGTTGGGAATCTCTGAAATTGATTCCTCTCATGAAGAAGGTCTCGAATTCGTTTTCAGGATATGTATTAAAATCGCTTATACGTTCAATCGATAGCTGGAGAAATACGAAGCGCAGCCCGATTGTCCAACTCACGGCTATGACGGACCTATCAAAGTGTCATCTAGTGGGTGTAAAATGGGTATCTCCAACGAGTTCATCCAGGTTGGCGCGACCTATCACAAGAGACAGTGTGCAGAAGATACTGACGATTTGGAAACATGCAACACATACAGTGTAAGCTATGATGTTTCTTCTCTATCTGCGACCACTAACCAGATCTGTCTCAGCCATGTCAGAAGTGAGTCCCTTTACTCGTAGTCCATTCGGTTTATTAGCTCATGTAGAAAAGGTACTTTGATGGGTCAACTGGAATGCGTTCTGATGCGGCTCATCACTATATCTACAACCAAGCTCACAACCCGAATTTACACGTCTGGGACGGAAAGCGCGTGAAGCGTGTCATCTTCGAGTAAGTTGCCATCTGAGATCGCAACACCAGCAAACGGTTGACTTTTTTCAAAACGAAAGAAACAAGCGTGCTGTAGGCGTCGAGTTCACCAGCGACCCAGTGTCTTGCCCGGATGCAGATCAGTCGTCAAGTATTGTAAGAGCATCAAAACTTGTTGTTGTCTCTGCTGGGGCGTTCGGTTCCCCGACCATTCTGGAGAGGTCTGGGATTGGTGCCGAGGCGATCCTCAAACGGTGCGGCATCGAGCAACTAGTGAATTTACCTGGCGTCGGAGAAAATTATCGAGGTGCATTTTGATACATTTATTCTATGATTTTGACTGAGGACGGTCAGATCATTATCTCGTCCTTGTTCCATACCTGGCTACCGACGACATCGCTACCCCCTTTCGTGGGGACAGTATCCTACAGCGTAAGCATGCTTCTCCCACGATTCCAGAACTTTTACCACTACTTGAATGCAGAAAGCCTTGCACGAAAGTTGGTGCAAGTTCTCATCATCACTGCTGGCATCGTGCTGATTTGGATCTCAGCAGCCTTGATTCAAAAATCAAGTGGCGTCCTGATGACGAGGAATTGAAAGCCATGAGTCCAGCTTTTCAACTTCGCTGGAAGGATTTCTTCCAGGACCGGCCAGACAAAGCTGTTGCACTATTTACTCCTTTTGCGCAGTACGTCCATATTACTTAGCTTGGATGATATGGAAATGCTCATGACAGCCAGATACATTCCACCGCCATCAAGGCCACTATCGAACATCTTAGCTCCTCGTAGCTCCATGACTGCCTGTTATTATATAGTGCTGCTCTCCGGCTACCCTGCGGTTCTTTTGCTAATCTTTTCATTAGCTTTACCCTGTGTCTGTTGGGAGTGTCCACATCAACATGACAGAGCACGGCAAAGAACGAATGGACTTTAATACAGGTATCCTAGATGAGTGAGTGGACGCATTTCATTTCAAGGCGCTTTGCATGACTAAGACACTCCGCGTAGTCCATCCGATATTGTTCCTCTCAACTTCGGGTACAAAAAGACACGCGAAATTTTCCGACGCATGGCTTCCTACCGAGGTGAATTCGCTGCTGGCCATCCTGATTTCCCGGAGGGAAGCGCTGCAGCCTGCAGAGAAGCCTCCGGGCCAGTGGACTTGTATGCGCCTGACATTGTTTACACTACCGAAGATGACGAGGCGATCGATCGATTCCACCGCGATATCGGTAAGTGTTGGCATCCCATTTCCATTGTCACAGTGAAATATTGACTCGAATATCAGTGCAAACGATGTCGCACTCGGTGCGCGCGGGTGAACTTTCCATGATTTCATATCTGATCTTTGTATTTGTAGCTTGGGACTTGTGCCATGAAACCGGAGGCAGATCATGGAGTCGTCGATGCTCGGCTTAATGTATACGGGGTGTCGAACATGAAGGTTGCAGATATGTCCATTTCGCCGTTGAATGTTGGTGGGGTGAGTACTGAACAAAGAATTGTTGATGTGCGATCTAACGATAAATACAGAACACTTATTCGACTGCACTTCTCATCGGAGAGCGGGCTGCGATGATCATTACCGAAGACTTGGGCATCGATTGCGTTTGATTTGTACCCTCAGAGGCGTATTTAATTATGACTTCCTAGACCTGATTAGGGCCAGGTTTAGGGACTTTCCAGAGCGTCTTCGTCGTCTGAGATCGCATCTGCCATAGCATGACACTGCTCAGTGCGACTCTTGTCACGTGCTCGACGGGCCTCGCTCTTGCATAGGGGACTAAATCAACGGGGACTTCTTTCGGTATGAGCACCCTACAGAGGCAGAGGTTCTACGTGAATCCTGATAACTTTGGCTGTAACTTGTAACTACGCAAGATTCTTGCACTGCAACCTAGTTTACCTTGCCAAGGTAAATTTTGTCGTTCAAATCAACTGAACCCCATGGTTACCACATTGATGGTACTTCAAATCAAAACCCTCATGCACACACCCATGTGAGTCTTGTTGTGGAATCCATCTACATGCGTACTCCGAATTATATGTGATGAAAGAATGTTATAACCTGACTTGAAGCGGGTGCTAATGACGTACTACGTACTTAACCTTTTAGGTTCGAAATAATCACGTGATCACACTCGGCGCAATGTGGCCTACGTAGTACGAGAACAACTTGAATGATCAATCACTATCACAGTCTTGTTCGTGTGATTTGTGACGTGTCTCCCTAGCGGCCACAGTTCATTTCGTCGTTTTGCAGATGTACTTACTAATGACAAGGTTCCTGAGGTCTTTTTACGTTATACTGCTGGTACCTTGTTGTCGCCACGGCTTGGCACCCGAACGGTGGCGGAGTGCCAACAGGTTACTACACACTCGCTTGAAAGTAACCCTCCATATCCGATATGTCTCGTCCAACGACTCCAATCCTGTCAGAATTCGACATTGTTTTTGCTGGAGGTAAGCAAATAACATCTTGTAGTGGATTGTCCTCTTCACACCGTGACATTACTCTGTACAGGTGGCACTACAGCTTGTGTTGTCGCAGGTCGCTTGGCTGCATATGATCCCTCGCTCAGGATCTTGATTCTGGAAGCGGGTCAACACACCCTCAATAAACCTATTCATGTCCAACCCTCTCAAGCTCTCCTCAACCTAGCACCGACCAGCACCACGGTTACATTCAACATAGGAAATCCATCTCCTCATCTCAACGGCCGTGCACCAATCGTTTCTTCCGGTCGTTGCGTCGGTGGAGGCTCATGCGTGAATTGTGCGTAGCATACTTGCAGCGATGAACAAGACTCTCATAATGAGATAGTCATGGTATACACCCGTGCACCTGCTTCGGACTATGATGATTGGGGAGTCGATGGTTGGGAATCTGAAAATTTGATTCCTCTCATGAAGAAGGTCTCGAATTCGTTATCAGGATATGTATTCAAATCGCTTATACGTTCAATCTATAGCTGGAGAAATACGAAGTGCAGCCTGATTGTCCAACTCACGGCTATGACGGACCTATCAAAGTGTCATCTGGTGGGCGTAGAGCGGGTATCTTCAACGAATTCATCCAGGTTGGCACGACCTATCATAAGAGGCACTATGCCGAAGATACCGAAGATTTGGAAACCTGCAACACATACAGTGTAAGCTATCATGTTCCTTTCCTATCTGCGACCACTAACCAGATCTATCTCAGCCGTCTCAGAAGTGAGTTCCTTTACTCGTAGTCCATTCGGTTTATTGGCTCATGTAGAAAAGGTACATTGATGGGACAACCGGAAGGCGTTCAGATGCGGCTCACCACTATGTCTACAACCAAGCTCACAACCCGAATTTACACGTCTGGGACGGAAAGCGCGTGAAGCGGATCATCTTCGAGTAAGTGGCCACTTGGGATCACACTTGCAGCAAACGGTTGACGGCTTCCCAAATGAAAGGGACAAACGTGCTGTGGGTGTTGAGTTCACCAGCGATCCAGTGTCTTGCCCGGATGCGAACCAGTCGTCAAGTATTGTAAGAGCATCAAAACTTGTTGTTGTCTCTGCTGGGGCGTTCGGTTCTCCGACCATTCTGGAGAGGTCTGGGATTGGTGCCGGGGCGATTCTCAAACGGTGCGGTATCGAGCAACTAGTGAATCTGCCTGGCGTCGGAGAAAATTATCGAGGTGCACTTTGATACATTTATTTTATGAGCTTGGCTGAGGACGGTCAGATCACTATCTCGTCCTTGTTCCATACTTGGCTGCCGATGAGATCATTACCACTGAGGCCCTCTCCCGTGGGAACAGTATTCTGCAGGGTAAGCATGTTTCTCCTCATGATCTCAGCATCTTTACAACTACTTGGATTTAGAAAGCCTTGCGCAAAAGTTGGTGCAAGTCCTTATTATCACTGCTGGTATCGTGCTGAATGGAATCTCAGTGGCATCGATTCGAAAATCAAGTGGCGTCCTGATGACGAAGAATTGAAAGCCATGAGTCCAGCTTTTCAACCACGCTGGAAGGAGTTCTTCCAGGACCGGCCTGACAAGGCTGTTGCAGTATTTTCTCCGTTTGCGCAGTAGGTGCATATTATTTAACTTTAATGATATGGAAGTTCTCATGACAGCCAGATATTTTTCACCACTCTCAAGGCCGCGATCGAGTATACCACCTACTCGTAACTACACGACTGCCTGTTATTATACAGTACTGCTCTCCGGCCACCCTGTGGTTCTTTTGTTGATCTTTTGATTAGCTTTACCCCGTGTCTGCTGGAAGCGTTCATATCAACGTGACAGAGGACGGCAAAGAACGAATGGACTTTAATACAGGCTTCCTAGACGAGTGAGTGGACGTATCTCATTTAGGGCACTTTGCGTGACCAAGATACTCCGCGTAGTCCATCCGATATTGTTCCTCTCAACTTCGGGTATAAAAAAACACGCGAAATTTTTCGACGCATGGCTTCCTACCGAGGTGAAGTCCCTGCTGATCATCCTGATTTCCCAGAGGGAAGCGCTGCAGTCTGTAGAGAAGCCTTCGGGCCAGTGGAATTGGATGCACCTGACATCATCTACACTGCCGAAGATGACGAGGTGATTGATCGATTCCTCCGCGACACCGGTACGTGCTCAATTGCCATCCCCATTATCACGATGAAATGCTGAATTGAACATCAGTGCAGACTCCATCCCACTCGGTATGTAGGCTGAAGCTTTCATGATTTCTTATCTGATCTTTGTATTTGTAGCTTGGGACTTGTGCCATGAAACCGGAGGCAGATCATGGAGTCGTCGACGCTCGGCTCAATGTATACGGGGTGTCGAACCTGAAGGTTGCAGATCTGTCCATTTCGCCGTTGAATGTTGGCGCAGTGAGTACTGAACCAAGAATTGTTGATGTACGATCTGACGATATACACAGAACACTTATTCGACGGCACTTCTCATTGGAGAGCGGGCTGCGATGATCATTGCTGAAGACTTGGGGATCAATTGTATTTGACAAACGTGCTTACGTAATCGCTGTACAAACATAATTCTTTTTCCTTGAACCAACAAACAACTATACCGGCGATACCATACTTATCTACAATTCGAAAGCCAGGGCCGGTACACTGCATAGTACATGATACGTATAGCGAATCCTTACTGCAGGAGCGAGTCCGTCAGGCTACCGTTGCGTATATGTGAATGTTTTTGCGACTTTCAAAGCCAACGGTGGCTTCATACCACATTGACCCTCGAGGTCCTTCTGTAGTTTATTCTGCAACTTCTTATCCTCCGGATCAGGATACCCCATCCATCGCTTGAACGCGCTGCCTATCTTCTCATGTTTCCATCCCCCTGACACTGGCGCAACAGCTGCATGATTCCGGATCAGCTGACGCACAACTTCTCTCGATGCCTTGTACTTTTCATCCTCATTCCTCAGGGTCGTTACGCATGCATGTCCCTCCACGACGATTTGGGATGCCTCTAACGATGCACAGTTCCGCGTCCACCATTCCTCCATGATTCTCTCGTCCTCGAGGCACGTCACCACCATGACTATGGGGACTCGCCGCCGATATAACACTTCGTGGAATAACTGGTAGTTGCTCCGCAATGCTCCACTGTCACGGCCTTTTTGAACGCAATATATCAACAAACTGGTGCCGCCGCATGCATCAAGCTCGCGGAGAAGGCGGCTGGCATTCTTGATGGATCGGTGATACTCTTCTGGCTCGAGTTCTGGGTTCTCGATGCCCATCGTGTCGAAGACGTTATGCTGCATCTCATCATCAAAGAGCTTGGGTAACGTATATTTGGTCCATGTGAGGGTGCAGCGCTTGAGGTTGGAGCCTGTCTGAGCGATGTTTTTGTCTGCAATGAGGTTTATGAGGGAACTCTTTCCGGCGCCCATTGCGCCGAATATAACGATGTTTTTAGCGCGAATGACGCTTCTCTTTTTCGCCATCGTGATGTGTATAATGGGGAGCTGACGGGTTATGGGAAGTGGTCAGGTGAAGCGAATTGTTCCTTTGGGCGGTCAGAGTTGACGTGACTTTTCCTAGCTATCTGTCAGGGCTGATGCCTTGTATGTACCCTTATATGATGCAGAAGCTTTCTGACACGACTTTTCCGTGCTTTGGATTGATACTTTGGCACGCGGCAGCCGTGCTGCTACGGGCGAAGGCGTAACTGGGATACGTATTGGGTACATCCAGGGCATGCATTATGCGTGCCACCTTACAAACTCCTATACAGAGCCGCAAGCATGAGGTAGTCAGTACGGAGGCCTTGAGTTATAGCTGGGCAGCACGCACAGGAACTGCTGTAGGTGAGCGCGCTCCACGTTGAATTTCCATATCTCACGTTGTAGGAAGATAGCAGAACCGAATATTTTAGTCCCGCCTACCAGTCGTATTACATGGTCATGATGAAACAGCCCCTGTGTCCAGCTATCGTAACGAATAAATGTAGTCAAATTCCCGTCATCTATTGAGTTTTTGAATCACGTCTTTCGCCAGGTTATCATCCATCCCGCAGCGCTTCGTGAGGACTCCAAGAACGTCTGACTTACTTGGACGTCCCGTTAAGAGGTCTTTCAACTTTCCGATGAACCTGGCGAGCCACCCATCTCCTCCATTCCAGTCCACCACCGTATCCTCATGCCTTTTGATCAAGTCCTTCACTTCCCTTCTGGATGCGTCGTACTTCTGCTTGTATTTTGGGTCCAGGTTGCCTGCCGCAGTGATACAAGCATGGTCAATACACTTGACTGCATGGCGGTCGAACGATTCCTTGTTTCGCGTGTACCAATGATCCATGGGATCCTCCCTCTCCAGGTGAGTAACGATAAGCACGACTGGTATCTTCTCCTCGAAGAAAAATTCATAGAATAGCCTGTAGTTGGTGACAAACGTCGGTGGTATTCTGCCTGCCTTGATGCAATACAACAGCAGATGGACTCCTCCGTTATCCCTCAGCTCCTTCATCAACTTGTCAGCATTGGTGACTGCATCGAGAAATCCACTAGGATCCATGCGATTGCCGTCGACCCCGGCAGTATCATAGATGCGATACGGCATGTCCCTGATGTGGATATCATACGCTTGATAGCGCAATGTGCAATGTTTGGTGTCCGGAGAGGTTCTAGCGACCTGGCTGCCTGCGAGGAGATTGATGATGGAGCTTTTCCCGACGCCACTCTCTCCAAAAATAACAATGTTTTTGGAAGACATTGCCAATGGACCTAGCACGGCGGTTCTTCAGTACTGAGTTTCTAGCGAAAAGGGGCATGACGGTGCGCTCACGATTATAGCAAATGTGTTTCTTCTGGCTGGGTGGACAATCTTTGATGAGAGCGATGATTCAATGGATTCTGATACTTATGCCACTGCAAGCACGACACGGTGCACAACGAATGTTACGACCTGCAATGCGAACATGAGGTTGGATATTGACTACCCTTTTTCGTTGAACCCAGAACCCAACTTTGCCGGTTGCAACGTGCAAGCAACGTTGTGCAGTGCTCGTTATGGAATGGAATGAATCATCTTAGACAGATCTGGATTCATAACCGCATAACCTCCGGTGATCCATAGCAGTCGGCCGCGAATCACTGAGTTCAATATGTTGACCCCTACTGCCCCGAGAGCCATATGCCTCGAACCACCGCATAACGCACCAGAGATTATGATGCTCGCTGTCAACAAGCAGACACAATAGACATCACGGTCTCGATAGGTCACTGTCGTTCAGCACGTGCTAGCCTTGCGTTCGCCTCCTGCTTCGCAGAAGTTACCTAGAAGGTTGGCCGGCCGAACCCTTGATCCGGCAACACCAAAAGCAAACTCAATTGGGTTAGCGTTGCTTTCTGGCATGAATATACCAATAGTGTCCACAAATATCAATGACTCCAAGTTGCGATATTAACACCTATAGGTCTCGATGTGATCACAATAAACCTGTGGTTGGTTACGACAACATCCACACGAGCGCACTTCCGTCCCTTGCTGGCTGCGATGCATGGCGGCATCTCATGACTTTGTCATAAACTCCTGCTTGTCTATATTAGCAACCGTCTACCACTGTGTATGAGTAAATCAGATATCTCGTAGCATACATAATACTATGATGTTTGGTAGGAGCATAATTAAATCTAAATCCTTCTATAGTAGCCACAATATCTGAAGGAGTCACGAGTTTACTAATGTGACCTGCACAAGCCACGTCAGAACGCCCCGCTACTACCAGCATCTTCTATGATGTGTGTCTAGGGTATGATGCGTAGGATTCGATGAGGCTGCGTAAAGCGTTTGGATCATCGGGGAGCAAGGTGATGCACACGTGATTGGAAAACTGCATGCCGAGGCGTATCAGGTCCCCCTTGTATTTCGTCCACCAATCATCCATGTTTGTCAGAGACTCCTCCAAACCATCGACCACGGCAGAAATTGATACGCAGCTGGTGGAGCCGACAATGTCAGTGAAATCTTGATATTCCCTGGATGCTGTTGGGGTACTTTTTCCCTTCATGCAATATAGGACAAGAGGCGCCCCACCGTTCCTATACAGCCTTTTATATGATGCTCCTAGTCGCCATTTTGCAATAAATCGCGGGAAGAAACTCATCGAGGAAGAAACTTCCCAAAGTTCGAAACGGCGCTCTCCAAGGGTAACTCCAGCGACACGTTTCAGCATAGGGTAAGGCCCACCCGGCACTGCATCAACAATATTTTGCCCGACAATCAATTGAATGATAGAGCTTTTGTCGACTCCGGTCTCCCCGAATAGCAACACATTCAAAGGAAGCTTGTCGCATGGGAGGATGAGTACATACAGATCAATGTAACGACAAGTGCTCACCAACGTCGAGACTCCGGAAGAGGGTTGAGGTGTTGCAGCGTTTGGACTGGCCCAACTTGGAGGGCGCAGATCCTCCTCGGGGGTTGAATGTGTGATATCACCAGACGCCGTTCTTTGCCCTGCATCAGACATGTCCGACGATGCCCGTCGACGACTGCCCTCTTCCCCGACAAGAGTCGTGTGCTGTGAGAATAATAGTTTGGCCTTACATGAATATAGACAAGCCATAAATGAACCTACATCGTTTATCGAAGCATCTGAAACATTTATCACCTGTAAGGCCGACACATCAACTGACGAACACTGCCGGATCCCAGTACAACGTGCGTTGGTAATGTAGGGAGATAAATCCGATGTCGCAGGGCTCGGTCTGTGTGCCTCGTGCTCGATGAGAGACACCGTATGTTCCCCTCCTAATCCACAAATAGTCTTGTCCTGTGAAGAGCAAAATTCAGCAAGGTAGGCAAAAACCAGCCGTGAATGAACCTACATCGGCTGACAAAGCCTCTAGTTCACTTCTCAAGAAGCCTATGACCATCGAAGCAGATGGACGTAACACCATGGCTGACCAACACTCAAGAATCATATTCCAGCGTGCATCCGTGAGATCGAGCGAATCTGATGGCGCAGGACGCAACATCTGTTCTCCCCCACGAATGTGTTCAGCGACTGTCGACTCATTGGTGACTGTATACCAAGGAGTATACAGAGTCAACAGCTGAGTATAACGATCGTGAGCAATAGTGGGTGCAAACTTGCAAACTTTAGACTTACGTGGAACATGATGCAACCAAAAGAATACATATCATTCTCTTTGGTCGGGCTGCCGCCACGGAGCAACTCAGGCGCGGTCCACCTGACTGCATCAAGTTGAACTTGCGATCCGTCAACCACGCGGTTACCTAAATGGCCACCCAAAATTGTTGCCAACCCGATGTCAGTGAGGCACGCGCGGTATTTCCCATCTGAGATATCCACTAGAATATTGGGCTGAAACTTTCTGTGAGCAGAGATTCAGGTGAAGAAGTTCAACGAACACTAGTGACATCCCCGTGGACGATGTCCAGACCATGAACTAATGACGATCATATCAGTCGAAGGAAAACGAAGAAGGACAGGAAGACGGACGATATTCAAGCGCAGATGCTGTACCTAGAAGCTAATGGGGATTGATATGAAGAATTCAGTCTAGATGCAAACATCGGCTCACCAAATCTAGTTTCGACCTAATGTTCAGTTCAGTGCCCCGTTGTTGGATAACGCCAGGGAGCGTAGTCTCAAACCATGAAAAGACAAGGGCTGGTGGGACTTCAGGTGACCCAAAATCTCTTGCCGTTCCAAGAAGACGGATGATATGATTATGATCGAGGATCGCCCAGGTCTTAGTTTCGCGATGAAATCTCTACCAATTAATATTTTTAAGGATGCATAGATCGCAAAAGAATAACAAATTCTCACTTCTAATTCTTCCTTTGAGATGCTAAACTTGATGATTTTGACAGCAACCTGCAGTGCAATAGTCAACAACTACATCAATGTCACGCCAGCATTAGCCGGACCTTGACAGTGGGTCCTGATGTCTGTTTGCATTCACATTTATACACGTTGGTGAAGTTGCCTCCGAGTCCTGGGACGAGGTCTTTGATTTCACCAATGATTTGACCTGTCAGATCCACTGGTTGATGTAAAGCGGGCGCCTGAATTATTAATAATACATGCATTAGAATTCGCCATCGATTGCGATATGTGCCTAACCTGCGAGTCATTGACCCCAAGTTGTTTTATGCATTCAAGGACTTCTGTAGAATCCGGACGATCCTCCGGCTTCCGCGACCAGCATTTTTGAATCAAGTTCCAGTGACCGTTGAGGATATTCTCGGGGCGTGTGGGAGTGGCTTTTTTCGACAGTTCGACAGAGATTAGAACGGTGTTTTTCTTCTCTTTCCATGGTATATCACCCGAGATGATCTAGGTGGAGAAAATAAAGTTGGGACTACAGAAAGACAAAAGAGATCGCACAAAGAAAATGATGCTTCCAAGGGAATAGATATCACTCATGAAAGTTGGTTTGGCCGCGACCTCTCTCTCTATTCCAAGGACTTCAGGTGCACGCCATCGAGCATTGAGTTCACGTGCCGCAGTCGTCGTACCCCACTGCAACTCTGGGTCTCCTACGACTATCGCGAGACCAAAATCTGTAAGACGTGGATTCCCTTCACGGTCGATCAACACATTGGCCTGAGGCTTGCAAATGAGTGCGATGTCTACAAGAATATAATCGTGCATGCGCATACGGGGTGAAGGTCTCCGTGAACGACTTCCTCCAAGCGAACTGGGTGAGCCTATCAATAACTGAAATAATGCCTAGATAGAAATTGACAGACGATAATTGATGCCGCCAGCGACACCCTTGGACTAGTAGCGTGCAAATAGATGAACGTCTGTTAAATGTGATTGATGTGAATGAGGGACTCACCAATTCAACTCTAGCGGAAGCATCAAGGGTTTTGGCGTACTTCTTGAGGAATTGATCTAATGGCCCGGAAGGCATCCATTCTGAAACAAGAGCTGGCAACGACCCAGGAGGAGAGAATTTTGCAATGCCAAGTAGCGGCACAATATAAGCCGATTCACTGAGCTTAAGCCATACTGCGACTTCCCGATCCATCGCCTACAATGATAGATCATAATGAAGTATCATTTGAATCTGCAAAAGGAAACTTACGCTCTGAAGTTTCTCCAGAGATCTTTGAGGATGAATAATGGCTCGGATTATCTTCACTGCGACCTAGTACTAGATGTTCTATGCACGAACTTAAGATGCTCAGACAGACTGCCACAGACCTCCTTCTTGCCTTCATTGATGGCACACCGATAAACCTCGCTAAACGAACCATCTCCAATTGGAGATCCAAGCTTGATTTGAGACGCGAGGTCGCTAGTGATGATATTGTTGTATATGTGTAGATGCGGCCTCATGGACTGAGTGAGACCACCAGAGGATGTATATTATGGAGTCGCCGACTCACTTTGTAAGCGCATTCTCTTCCATGACTCGAATGTGGGTGCTAAGCGTTGTTCTACAACTTGAAGAGGCTATACACAACGAGATGGGTATGGAGTTAAGTATGCGCTTCAAGTTGCCCATGCTGTTACGTTTATATGTAAGAATTCATGTCAAGGGCAGCATGCCGCAAACTAGTATGTAAGAAGGGCACACGAGTTTGTAGCATGACTTCCGAGGATCCAGCTCGCTTCACAAACAGTGACGCCGGACCGCAGGTTGCCGGCGGTCTTAGGGTGCGCCAGATTAATGGAAGGGTGGCGCTTCAAAGATATGGTAACTAGACTTGTGACCAGTCTGACGTACGCGCGCGAGCAACAAAGAGGGTTGAGGTCGGCAGGAATATAGTTTTAGTGCACACGTCGTCCTATCCTGCCTTGATCCCGCCGGAAGTAATTTAGGGAACTGAGCTAGCTCGGAGTCATGAAGGAACATAACCGTTTTATGTAACAGTCTAAGGGTGTTCGACTTATTAAGTACAAATTTGATCCACGATGCAGAACTTCAACGTTGCAACGTCCAACGTTGCTGCAATTAAACGCGGTTGCAATCGGGTCCTACGTACTCTTCACCACATGTTGCAATTGTCCGATATCTCAATCGTGTCTTGTACATAAATGTAACTCATCAGAGAAAACCTCCTTCACAAAATGGCTCAAAAAAGAAGGAATTTCAGGGAATCTGTTAAACTACATGTATTTCGAGAGTATTTCAACGAATCTGTTAAATTACATGTATTTCGAGAGTATTTCAACGAATCTCGTTATATTCCTCAAACAATAGTTAAATAAGTGTGTCGGTCACTGAACGAGTTTACAAAGAAGCTGGGACAGAGCTCCAGAACGGTACTGCTCGTCCATTCACGAGGTACTACTGCGCCGAAATTTGGAAAAAGATGAACACTCCTGCGGATGTCCGATACATCGATAATGCTTGCAAGATGCTCTCCATGACGCATCAGATGGCAAATTTTGTACAGCCCATGGTGTGATTCAGGTTGCTGGAAGGGTGTGAACCATTCCACATACGCAAGGTGGGCGGGTGGTTTTAGAGGTCCAGCGGGGAATAACAAATTTGTAGCTTGACTTGTCAGCGTGAAGACGACGCGAACTTGCGCAACACGGTATCCTTTTTGGAATAAAGTCAGATTAACGGCCGTGTTCACACAAATGCAAACGCACCATTCACGCCCGTTATCCCACCATCCCCTTCGTTGACCAAAACAGTATCAAAGCGTGCGGGGATCGTGTGCCCTCTCTTGTCCTTTCGCGATGGTTGAGAATGCACAGAATCTACTGTTACACTCGAGTCCTGGAACCCGTGAGCATCGATTGCGTGAAATTTGATCCTGTGGAATGTAGCCACAGCATCAAAGGGAAGAATGATATGAGCAGCCTCTCGTTCCAGTTGCGCTGCAGATAAACCAGGTTGATTCCTGCCAACCACATAACGAGCCAATGCTGCTGTGAAAAAAATGGCGCCATAGTCCTGCACAATGTGATCCAATGGAACACGTCTGATGGTCGGGTGTTTCGTCATCTTGATTGCCCGACGATAATCCATGTCTGGTGGTGGCCTTTCTTGCGAGGCAAGATCACCAACCAGACGCCACTTAACAAAGTTATCATGCCACAACATCTTCTCACGTCTTTCGAGCCAGAGCGTCATTTGACTATACTCGTCTTTATGGTTGGTAGCCCTATAAGCATCCTTCGTGAGGTCAATATGTAAGCATTCGGTGTACTCGGTGTTGTAGTTGTCGGTCGTGCCATACATTTTGATTATATGTACATAGTGACGGAAGGAATGAAGCTTCGGGAGGTTGAAATTCGATCGGATCCCAAGATCAAGGAAGATATCCTTGTTATCGTGAAAGTGTGTCAAGGCATCATCGAGCAGTGCTAGAGTTTGATCTGTGTGAGAAGGGTATTGAGCAAGGTAAAGGAAATCAAGGATGCCGCGAATGGCACGAGTAAGGCGACCATTATTGAGATTTCCAGGCAACTGTATGCCAATGACAATACCGAGCAGGAAGCGACAGATCTGGTTATGCTCTGTTCCACTAACACGTGAGAGGTGACTGATTCCTTTCAGAAACAAGCGGATGTTGTGGTTTGGGGGAAGCCTACGACAACGAGCGTCGATCTCAGCTTCGCTACATGCCTCCTTGATCCACTCAGTGAGGTGCTTTATGATACCCTGGTAGAGCTGATGCAACACATCCGGCGTGATGGATTGGAATATGTTGGTGTGCGGGAGATCCAGCCAGAATGGTTTGAAGACAGGCTTAATGCCACACTCCTGGCACGCTCGTCTCCACAGGTCATAATCCTCGTCGACGAGGGACAATGCGGCAAGAATTGCATTGAGGTCTCGCAGGTTTACCGGGAAATGCGGACTTCCCAACTCCTTGTGTGGGACATCACACTTCGGGCACTCTCCTGACTTTACCCCAGTCGTCAACAGCTGTTCTGGGTAATCTGCAGAGTAACAAGCGACAATCGGATGCCCTCGACGCACAGCACCATCCCCACTGGCCATAGCAACGCCATCCTCGCCAGGGACTTTCAGAGGCTCAAGAATGCGGCGCAAACAAGCGTGAAACAAATTAGTTGCCGTTCGACGCCTAGCAGCCTTGTTTGTGATATGATTGAGTTTCGAAGTTGGTAGATAGGCAAGCAGAATCCACGCTTGTTTAGATGGTTTTCGACGGATCTCCTTCGGAATATTGCCTATTGTCATGTAGACAGGATAGGCAGATTTGTTTCTAAACATAGTGACCTGTGTCTTGTCAGACGAAAGGATAATGGGTATGACTGTTGCTCCCGGTTTCTTTGTTTCAAGTTCTTTCTAAAAGAGGTTCCATTAAGTTCAATATGACTCGAACAGATTGTCTGACGACTTGCCTGGGTGGACCACCACCACTTGCCTGTATGGATATCATGATACATTCGGATAGTCTTGTCGGCATCGGCATAATGGCGTTCAGGAGCATAGTTGAGATGTGGTGAGAATTCAGGATCTGAATAAAGAGCTTTGACACACTCCATGACGTCACACGAGTAAACATCAAATGCCTCGTCTGCAACAATAATTTCTTCGTGTTTGAAACGCGGTCGTTGACATGGTAACTGTCGGTCGATAATTTGATTGAGTTCACAGGAGTTCTGGTATGAAAGACCCAAGGCTTCACAAAGCTATATAAATGTCATCGTAAATATCGGCCCATCATGATCCAATTGAGAAAGCTCACACCATCGATTGCGAGCAGCTCGGAAAAAGCAGTTGAGCCAGAACTACGAAGTTTTGCCCACTTTGCGACCTCGTAATCTGTGCGAGACACGAAGGGGGCCCAAACGTTTTCTGCACCTTGCAGTACATTCTTATAAGACTCGAAAGCTGTAGTGTGGGAGTGGTGGACTGGAGCACCTGCATGGCGCCTTGGAAATTTCTCAACAATGGGCTGGTGACCAAGGGGCGCCTCTGCTTCTTGTCGTTTGGCTGGGAGTGATTGTGACAGTGTGTCCGAGTTGTCCGAGTTTTCAAAATCATCCCCACCATTGATATCCTGCTGGACAGGATCTGCAGGGTGTTCCCACCCATGCTCAAGCGCTGTGTCATGATACTCTTCATCCTCTCCATCAGATTCCAAGGGGAGCTCATTGTGGTTATCGTCTGGCCATTCCAGATCTTGTTCATCGTAGTAGCCAAAGTAGTCTCCTGTAAATTCTGCATCTCCTCCATTGAGACTGTCAGTATCTCCATCCTCTGCAAGACCATCAGAATCGTTATCGCTCGACTCTGGAAAAAGACCAGAAAGTTGTAGTTGAGCGGCGCATGATGGATTTATGGTCTGGGCTAGGTAATGAGCGTATCCAGTATGCTCGAAGTTTTTAGCACAGCCTGGGCAAGTGTTCATTCTGACAGTAGAGAAACAGGTGAGAAACAGGCATAGATAAAGAGACGAAGGTATCCGAACAGCATGCGTAAAGAGACAAAGGTATCCAAATAGTGTGCGTGGGCTGTTGATAGAGCCAAGTCAGAAAAGGTTTAGTTGCAAAAATTGACGTGATAACATACAGCACAGCAACCAAATGACAGTGGACTAATACGCCCTCACAAAGTGCAAAAGTGAAAGTATTACCACTGGCAGACGCACCCTCACAAAGTGCAAGAGTGAAAGCAGTACCCCAGCAGACACGCTCTCACAAAGTGCAAAAGTGAAAGCAATACCAAACGCGCCCTGTTGGTGAAGATCCAGGTCAGAAAAGGTTTAGTTGCAAAATTTAACGTGATGGCATGCGGCCCTGTGGCAGCAACAAACAAACTTACAAGCTTCAAAATGGCAGTGGACTGCGAACCTTGCAGTTTTTTTCAGTCCTTCCTCCCATTTGCCCCCTCATCAGCATGCCTCCCAGAGCATCTCTAACACCGTCAGAAATAGCCGCCCACAAGCGGAACAGCAAAACAAAGGCCAAGGCGAGTCAAGAATCTGGTGGTGAAAATCAAGGCGATACAGATAGTAAGTAGTACATAAAAGAAAATTGTGAGGGACTCACAATCATCAAGAACCATTGCAACGGTCGTCGAAGATAAAGGCCTTAGAGCGGAAAGGTTAGCACTTGCACAGTTAGAAAGCAGTTACTAAAATGCACCTGATTTCAGTTTGGAATGAGACAACGGCCAACAGTCGTAAGCGCGCACCCACAGTAACTGGACTGCAATCAGCACCTGCAGCCAAATTAGCACGGAAGATACCTGCAAAAAAGCTAGATCACAACAATGGTCAGTTACAGACTGCTACTTGAGACAGATGAGATACTCAACAGCAGACCGTGGTCAAGAAGCACATGAAGTTATCAGTCATGCTGAAAGTCGAGGTCGTGAGAGATCAACGCGCTCTTCGAAATCAGCCACGGTGTCAATTGAAGATAGTGACACTCTTAGTGAATACGGAGAGAGTGACGATGCATCTGAAAAATCAGACAACGACATGGAAGTTCCTGAGGATGATGACTTTGAGTCACTCTCCCAGGAGGAACTCATTAAAGAGGTACTTGACCCCATTGTCAGAAAAATTGAAATTGACCTTTTGACATAGATTCCCCATTTTGTGCGCATGGGTAGCAATGTATCTGAATGGATGGCCTCTGGCACTACTGCCGGTGTTCCTCAAGTTGATGTTGCTGACAAAGCCTCTGATGGTCATTCCAAGCCATATTACCGTGAAGCAACAGCCGTCACCAAACACCAGCCAGACAAGAAGAAAGACAAGAAGAAAAAGAGCAAGCTAGAAGAACGACAAGACCTTGAGGTGACGTGTTCCACTGCACACTCCCATGATTCCGTCTCACATCACACTGTGTAGAGACCTAAATTTGTGGAGACTGTGGTGCCGCCGCGGCCAGCTTCAGATGTCACTCATGTGTCAGCTTCTGAGTCTGATCATTCTTTTACATGGCCCATATTCACAGATCTAGTCTACTCAGCAGACGGCTCTATCAACCTCAAGGCTCAAAACACCCGGATACAGAATGTGTTGAAGGCCGCCATGTTCGAACTCAAGAAAGCCTCTCTCTTCGACAACGCATTCCCCAACATCACTCAGAAGTGAAAGATGGCCCTGGAAGCGGTCCATACCGCTGCTGGGAAGCGCAAGGAATATGCGATATTAAAGAGGATGAAGCACGACTTTGATTACGCACTGGCTCTGGCCGGGATCGTATGTACTCTTTTTGCATGGTTATTTGGATGAAACTAATACACTTACAAGCCGGAGGGACGAATGAGCTCCTTCCACACCAATCTCAAGAAGCTCGCACATCAAATTGTTGTATCGCATTTTGGACTCCAGAAAGGCTGCGCTGACAAGGTAGAAGACCTTCTTAAAAGTCACAAGTATATTTTTCCAACCGATGCCAAGGTCTGTTTAGTATTTTGTTATCTCTCTCTTCATTTCTCTGATTCTCATCTACTACCCAGGGTAAGGTCCTTGGGGACCAACCATTTTGTGATGAGGCTACCATTGACATCATCCGATTGTCATTCTTTGATGGTGGCGAGGACTCATTTGGCAGTCAGTGCCATGATGATTTCATTTCTGTCTTAGATGGAAACAATGAGCCAGAGCTACCGGTGGCTATGGTGTGTTTGACTGCAACTATGGTAGGCACCGGCTGTGATACTGTTTCAAACTCTGTATACTGACTACATAACATTCTCCACAGATTTATGTGATATTGAAGGATTGGAGTAGCGGCAACCCGCCTTCAAATGTGCAAGTCAAATCATTCAATGCCTCCTCCCACGTCGGTGTTTACAAGGCTCACCAAGCGACTCTCAACCGCATCTTCAATGGTAGTATAAAGAAGTACCATGCACTGATGGCACGGCTTTACAAGGCAGTCAGGTGCGTCTTGCTTGCGCCATTCTTCATTGTTGGGCACTCTGACTAACTCAACACCAGTGCAATCGAGAACTCGGCGTCCACTGCCTCATCAAGCACTTGCGACTATCTCGATCTCGATGCAATGGTCGAAGAATAAATCAAGCTATGAATATGGCACCGAGTCAGTTGCTTCTCAGTTTGCTGATATTTTCTTTTCTTTTCACATCTTTTGATTGTGATATCTCATTTTAATCAATGTTTATGTATGTCGACTTCAACCGAATTCAAAATAATTTGATGGTATTTGAGGAATAATGACTGAAACTCAAAGAAATTCGAAGAAATTCGAAGTAATTCGAAGTAACTACGACCGAGCTTGAGAAATCTGGTCGTACTCGATTTCACTGGATTTCACTGAAATTACGAGGAATTCTCCAAAAAATTCTGAAATTACCTTGTTTTTGTGAAGGAGCTTTTTCCCGATGCTCAGTACAACTGGGGAAATTTACGATAAACTGTAGATGTTGACCGATGAAGCTTTGAAGCTTAAGCTTCATAAGAGCAAACTGTAATCCCAGTTTCCAGGCCTCGAAGTCATCGGTGAATTATCGAATTGCTCTGGATATCAGTACTCAGTCATGACGTTACAGCCAAAGTGAGTTCCTCGCACACTAGTACAGTATAGCAGAAACGACTCATGCACGCAGTGAACTTGAACATGTCATTAATTTGGTATTTCGAGTCATGTAGTTCTAGAGTATTACAGTCAAATAGATCTTGACTGCGCCTACCAGGTGTTTCAAAACTACGCCATTCTCTGCGTAATACTGAATAAAATGCCAGCATCTGCTCATAGTGCGGGACTAATTGGACAAGCAAGGTGAAAGTCAGCATCACTGAGTGTTGACATTGTGTCACTTGTGTGACGTCTACTGTTTAGCTAATCGCTCGAAGTAGCCGGTGTAGAAACAACAATACTGAGAGGAACAAAGAAATGCTCCTGACTGTATCTAAAAAGTTGTAGGTCGTGCGTTGCCTAGTCTGCGATACTTGAGATGGCAAGTGCATTCGACCCTAAAGGGGAAGCAGGTGCAGCGGAGATCTAGAGGTACGCGCTTCAGTGAAGCGCGAGAAAGCGCAGGTGCGCGCAAGGTACGAAGGCGCGGGAACGCGCGCGCGTATTAGCGCGAAGCGCGGGAAAGCGCGCGCGTGTAAGCGGAAATAAGAGAGACTAAACTTATGTGAAGATATAAGCAAGATAAAGGATGTGAGATGTGTTGTGCTAATGAATAGATTTCTACTGCGACTTTCTAAGTAGTAAGTACTAGGTAAAGTTGGGTGAAAAGTAAGGTAAATAATAGTATGTACTGCTGGCGCTTATATAGCGCGCCTAAGCGCGCTCATGCGGAGCCGAAGCGCTACCGAGTAGGTATGTAAAAATATATATGAGTGAGAAACTATGATAAAAATAAAGGTGGAACTATGCTAATGAAGGAAATGGAAATATACGCACTAGGGAGCTTGGTGGACAGTGGATGGATGCATCTGGATGGCTGGCGCTATAGGGCGCGCAAGCGCGGGAACGCGCGCGCGCGTATACATCGTGAAGCGCAGGAATGGTGCGCGCATGGCGCGCATTGCGCGGGAAAGCTGCGCGTCATATAGGAATCACTGTGGATGGTACACAGAGTGATGCTGCGAGTTGGTGCTGTATACTCCCTAGTGTAAAGCGCCATATCACACTATGAGATGCACGAGTCTCTACACCGGCACAAGTGAATAACGTTCACAATCGAAGACGGTGTTAAAGTCTGGTATTCTGGGTTGTAAGAACGCTATCCTAGGTGTATGATAATAGGCCGTATTTAACTATTTTCTAACAAAGGTCTCGGGTAAAACAGGGAGTAAGTAGTCGGCCGATAAAGAGAGTGTTCGTCAGATAATGGATGGTTAGACTAGGCGACTGTCAGTGATATGAGTAGAAATACGAAGTTAATAGAATTGAAACCGGACGTCTGTGACCGAATGTCAAGCCGTTACATCTTCCCTTCCAGAGAGAGTCTACTCTCTCATTCCTTGGGTTCGTCTTCATCAACCAGAGGTGTTCATCGGCTCGAGGTTGGAGGAGGAGGAGCCGGTGGGCGTGCTCCCAGAGGTTGTAGTGGAGAGATTCTTGTTGAGCCCCCCAAGTCCTTTCATCACCTTGCTGTTGTGCTTCTTCATGAAGTTCTTTCCCTTCCTGTTCATCATACGGTGCTCCTCTATCTTCTCATGCTGGCGCATAGCCGCCACTGCGGTATGCCAGACCATACGATCCACCTGGTCCATGCATGAGGTGGATAAGGTAACGTCTTCGTCCTCATCGCACAACAGGTCGCTCATTTCGATAGACGACCCCTCACATTTAACGACACCTTGGTCGTTGATGAAGGTGGCCGTGGAGGCAAGGCCCTTGTGGTTATAAGCCCATACGAAGTATTCGTACCCCAGAGGAGGATCAGGGCGATTGGAGGGAGCTTTGTTGCGGAGGGCGTGAGAGTAGAGGATGAACACCTTAAGCTGTTCTCGAGCGACGAAGCGAACTTCGTTCACATCATCAGGATTGGTGACGAGGAAGTGATGGCCATGCTTGGTGAAGTTGACGAGGGGTTCATTGGGCATGATGGAGTATAGGGCGAGATAAGTGGGTGATGCTGGATTGGTGGCGAAGGGTAGTTGAGGAACGGGGCGAGGTTTTAAATGTTGGCCGTCCCATGATGTGACCGCACTTAGTGATATTGGGGGGTCATCATCAGGGCACGTTCCTAAGCCATCTGTCAGTTTGAAAATTGAGGATATCCCGAGCAGCTTGAAATATTTGGTTAGCGCGTCAAGATGAGCTATATGCTCATATGGCAACCAGGTGATGTCCCCAGCACACCATTTCACCTCAAATGTTGAATCCCCGCATGTACCTTTGTGCGACAGGATTTGGTCTACCACCCACTCTGGGTCCACTTCTCTGAAGTCCCCGATTTGTGTTTCCAGCCATCCAGGGAATAGTTGGTCATCATTCGGGATATGTATCTGAAGGAGGGAGGAGTGAAAAACGGGATGAACTCCCCTCTGTTTCAACCGGTTAGGTAGATCCAGGAGGAAGGAGTTGTTACCATAGTCCTTAATCAGTTTGTAGGGACCTACATACTTTGGTAGCAGTTTCTGTGCCAATCCTTTGGGGAAAGACATGTTCTTCGTTGAGACGTACACTAAGTCTCCCTCTCGGAAAGGACACGGCTGTTGTTTGTTGTTGGTGTTGCGTGTCTGCTTGACGCGAGCCTCCAGCATTGAGTCGTGTGCTCGAATCTGGGCCTCCTTCATCTTCTGAGCATACACTCGAACTCCTGGGTACTCGTTCTGCTGAGGGTCGTTCCAGACCATAGCTCGGGGCATCCGTCCATTGTTGATGAAGAAGGGAGAGAGAGAGGTCGATTCTGACTGGGCTAAGTTGATGGCGAATTTGATGGCCGGGAGCCGGGACACCCAATCCCGTTGGTTGGCCGGGATGCACGCACACAGCATCTGCGTGACCGTGCGGTTGGCTCGTTCTGTGGCCCCATCTGACTCCGGGTGGTAAGCACTGGACATGTGTTGCTTGATGCCCAGTAGTCTGTTGAGGCGAGTCCAAAAAGTACTGGTAAACAGCACATCACAGTCACTTACTATAGACCTGGGTAACCCATGTAACTTGTACACCTCCGCAAAGACCAATTCGGTGATGTCCTTCGCATTGTAGTTCACCCGGCTGGGTACTAAATGCACCATCGAGGTGAACCTATCGATTATCACAGTAATCGAGTCGTACTCACCGTCACAGTCCTTGGATAGTGGTAGGGGGCCTACGAAGTCCATGCCAATGGATTCCCAAGGTTGGGAGGGAATGGTGAGTGGGGTCAACATTCCATATGGCTTCTGATTCGAAGGCTTGCTTCTTTTGCATGTGTTACACGTGTTACAGTAAGCGGTGACATCACTCACCATGCTTTTCCACCAAACGTGTTCTCTAAGGTACGTTAACGTTTTAGAAGCTCCCAAATGGGCTAGCAAGGAGTGCGCTTGTGAGATTATTACTTCTCTCACTGTTCTACCACTAACTTTTATGTCGGGTATGCACAGCAACTTTCTGTCGTGGAGTTGGAGGCGGATTAGCCCGTGCTCTAGGTGGAAATTCCAAAAGTCCTTTGGTGAGTCTAAAATCCATTTGAAAAATGGGTCCTGGTCGTACTGATTCTTTATCGTTTGGATGAGCTCATCCTCATCTGGGTAGCCCAAGGTCAATACTGGTGGGGTGTGGCCCCATGTCTCCGATGATAGACCCATTGTTGGGTTACTGGTTGGTACGTCCATTGTCTCAGCCTGTTGTAGAGCTGACGTACATATGGGGTTCTGTAGGTTCGTGTCCTACTTCCTTCCCCTCCTTTCGTCCCTTCAGGCCATGAAGGATGAAATGCGGAGCCAGTCGCCTCGCGAACTCCCTCGCTGTCTCTGGATGACCGGTCTCTGCAGGCCCCACATCACGGCACGATGGTTTGGAGTGTGGCTTGCTGGGGTGAGTTTCTACCATATGGGGGGACGTGTGCTTACTGAAGCCCCCAGTAATCTGCTTAGTACGTGCCTTCCTGGCTGCTATGCCAGCTGGCTGGGGCTTATGACGATCCACCTTCGAGGACGATGCAGGAATGTCCGTCGAGCTTGTCAGTTCCGGCTCCCATTTAGAGGCCAGCCATGCACTGTGCCTGGATGCAGCCATTGCCTCTGGTCCCACCAGGATGGGCATGGATATCAGCCCCAATAAACATTGTCTGGGGCCATTGTCATTGTCGTGCTCGGTGAACTCACTTGGTGCACGCACTGTCCCTGGTGCATCGTAGGAGTACAGGCGAGACAGGGCATCTGGCAGAATATTCTCCTCGCCCGGCAGGTATTGGACCTCAAAATCGAACTCTCCTAGTTTCTCCAGCCACCTGGCCTGGTGACCCATGAGGTCTTTTTGGTTCAGTAAGTGAATTAATCCCTTGTGATCTGTCAACCAGGTAAACTTTGCGCCCTGCAGGATGTCCCTGTGGCGTAACATACCCTCAACCCCCGCCAACATCTCCTGCTCATGCACAGCGTAATTCTGCTGTGTTGGGCTCAGTTTAGCACTATACAAGGCCGCTACTTTTGACGACCTCCAATCGGGGCCTTGGGCCACAACGGCTGCTATGCCACGCCCACTGGCATCAATCATCAGCCATATAGGGTGAGCCTTTTCGCCATAGTCCAGTGGCACACGATGATGACTGCTACAATTAGCCACATAGTGTTTGACCTCCTCAAATGCTCGTTGTTGGGTGAATTCCCATCTGAAAGGTACAGTATCTCCGGTTACCTCTGCTAGTATGCCCATTGGCACTCTGACATTGTATATATCGTCCACCAGGAACCCCACAGCTCCCAGGAAGCTGCGAAGAGCGTCGCGGTTTATGGGCATCTTCCAATTGACGATGCTGTCGACTTTGTCAGGATCCATCCGGATACCTTCCTCATCCACTACCCTGCCCAATATCTTGAGGCGGGTGCACAAAAACTGGAGTTTTCCTTCGCTAAGGTAAAGCTTCTCGTGCTTCAATATGTTGAGTACTGTTCTAATGTGTGTCATGTGTTCTTCTAGTGTGTTAGAGTATATTATGATATCATCAAGGTAAACATCCATCCAGTTCCCAATGAACTCACCAAACAGATGGTTCATCAGGGCCGGATATGTGGCCAGTGTTACAAGTAACATCGGCTACATGGCCCCCCTATCATTTTTCCCCGTCATCCTCGCCCTCATATGCCTCCGGCTCGTACTTCTCTACCGACTATCCGTTGACCGGATCCTTGGGATCGTTCCCATCCCTCGTCCCCCTCTTATCGCACCAATGTGCGCACGTGCCCTCGGGCTATGACTCATTCTGACTCGTGCCACCAATGTGGCTTCCCTTATCTTGTCTTATCTTTCCTTTGACTCATGCGTGCTGCGCATTGTATCACTTACCATTGGCCCGTTCCAACGTTTCTCGGTCTCATTCCGCATTCGACCTCACATCACTAATCAGGCTCTGCTACCAGCGTACCTATACCCCTTTCGTTTCCCCTTTGCCCTTACCCACAGTACGGTAGCCTTGCCCTTAACCCTTTCCACTTAATATAAGTAGTTGGCCACCCTGTACTAGATTCCCTAACTTGAATCTACTCAATCTTCCCTGGAACATACTTCCCTCTGAAGCCCCCTCAGCTTCAGTCTCTAGTATCTTTTCTTAGGTGCTCATCGCGCCTAAGTCTACCTCGATCAACTACTCATTGTTTGGACAAGACTGTCCTTACCTTGAGAATGTCAGTAACTTCGAAGACATCCGTCTTAGAAGTCACGTGACACGCGCGTCTCTGATATCTGCCGACTCATCGTCGCCAGTCTCAGTCGCTATACCGGACCCTTCCGGTTATGTCACGAACGTTAGCAGACGACGCCCCTCTTAGGGCTCTGCATAACAGATCTATTTGAGTGCGTAACAGCCGGCGCATTACAATCGCCCTGCTGCAGTACCATACTAACCATATTCCCATCCGGGGTTGTTACTGCTGTATGAGCGACATGTTCAGGTATGATGCGGATTTGTTTGTAAGTGTCCTGGCCATCAATTATTGACCGAAACTTCCGTCTAGCAACTCGACGTAAAATCCTGTCGGTGTCTGGTAAAGGTGAGGACAATTTCCTGGTATTTTTGTTTCGCTCACGCAAATCAATTACTGTCCGCAGTTTATCGGTACCTGGCTTTCGAATGAATAGCATGGGTACTGTGTTTCCGGTGCTGGTAACCTTCCAATGTCCTGAGGCAAGGTACGCCTTCCTCTTTGCATCCCATTGAGGCCTTAATGGCTCCGGACACTTGGAAGGTTGCCATCTATAGACCTTCTCCATCTCTATCACAGGGATGGTGTGATTTATCGCTCGTAATGATGGTAAGCCCGTTTTGCTCGCCTTTGCACATAGAGGTTTCGCTAATTTCCTTAGGACTTCCCTAGCTCATTCGAGCTCATCTTCACTGGCTTCAGCCATGCGTGATTCCAGCACTGACACGTGTTCTCCTTTAACCAGCAGTGCTGTGTTACTTCCAATCACCACTCTGGATGGGTTCAAACCTACCAGCACTTGGTGCTGAAAAATGAAAGGCATCCCCAGAATTAAATCGTAATTCTGTAAGTTGATTATATCAAAGAAATGTTCCTCTCTGACGTTCTGATAGACAAACTCAGCCTTGGCGCCAAAATTCACTTTGGAGCGCAACCCCTGCATGGCCAACTGAATGGTAAGTGGTTTCTCCAATGCTATGTGTTTTACTCACAGCTGTTCCACTAATGTAGATGACATAAAGTCAGCCAAGGATCCCATATCGATTAATGCCCTCGCCGGTCTCCCATTTATATGCACCACCACCACCACCACGGGTTTAGGTATCAATCGTTTGAAGTCCCTGGTGGTCGCAGCATTACACTGAATAGCTGGGTACTGTCCAGGAGCCACTTGCTGGCCATTCAACTCAACCAGCCGATATTGGTGAGGTGTTTCCACGAATTTCATGTCCGGTATCGCAAACAGCTGATGTACCACCTCTTCTAGGGCGCAGTCCATAGAACTCAGAGGTTCTGAGTCCAGTAATCTAAGATGGTTATTCTCCCATTCTAGTTCCTTCGCCACCATCAGGCCGTTTAACTTTCGGTAAGCTTTAAGCAAGTGTTTGGCATACCAATGGCTAACGTTCAGTTTCTCATTGCTAAGGAACCGGTCATCTGCGCAAACATAAAAGTTAAGCTCCTGGTCAAATATCTCATAGACATTTTCGTTCTCATACCTGACTCGATGGCAATAGAAGCAATCCAGGCTGGATTCCCCAGGGAGCTGGACTTCGGCGTTTAACATAGTTGCTACCCTCTCAGCGATTGCGTCTCCCATTGGTGTTTGCTGCTGCATATAGCGCAGCATAAACCTCGGTATGTCCAATGGCCACGCTAATCTCTTCATGTACCAGTCACTAATGAAGAAATTCAGATTATTCAGCAGAAACAAGGGGATCTCGATGTCATCCTCCAGGTGAGATGCCCTGTCCATTATGAGGTGATGAGTTTCTGATGTTCTATAGATCAAGAACTGTTCTGAAGATAGAGTCTCCTCTTTCCCAAGATCATCCCCAGGATAAGGTGCATTTTGTCGTAGAATTGCTTCGGCTCGTCTTGCCAGGGGATCACCGATGGGTTCATCGGTTATCCCTCAAGTCCGACTAACCTGTTTCTTAGGTTTTTCATATTCAAGGAGTGCGCAGGCTAATGGGATCTCCGTTATCACCTCGGTGCTGTCACTGAGGTCTTGGAGGTCCCCATCAGATCCTGTTTCTACATGCATGGCATAGTTTGGCACCCCAGGTGGCTTGTCACGCCCTGATGAGGTAAGTGTGGTCTTACTAGGGCAACTGCGGGATATATGTCCTGTCTGTTTGCACACAAAGCAGTGTCCTTCGGCTACCAAACGATCATGTTCTTCCCTGCTCATCTGTTCTTCCTTAGGTGCATCCGGCCTTTGGCCCATCTGATTCCTGGACCGTTGGTTATGGCGTCCTTGGTAAGACCCTCCCGGCTTCTGGTTGTGTCAATCCTGGGCTCAGAGATTTGAAATACAAGTTCCTTGACTTTTGTAGACTTGACTTCCTTGGACTTTGCTTTGCCATTAGTTTCAGTAGTAGTCTTTGTGTATGTATCAAGATGGACAATGATTGTAGCCCTAAATTGAGGTATCTCAACGGAGGGTGATGGCGACGACATTGTCTTTCAGCGAAGCACTCTGAATTGGTGCTGGATTGGTCACTCAAGTGCTTATGGGGTCCTGGACGGGCATTTCCGACGCGCGAGTTCCAACTTTTGCGATTCCGCATATTTTTGAAAACAGCTGTAATAGAAATGAAACCGGACGTCTGTGACCGAATGTCAAGCCGTTACACGTTGAACGTCTCTTATTTTAAACTCCGTTCACCACATACGTTTGGAAGACCCTGCATGCCGTTCGCCACCTGTGGAACAGCAGTCACACTCATGGACCCAGGTTTTGCGCTTGAATAGTGAGTCCACTTTTATAATGTGCGTCGTCTTCCCTTATCATATTCTGCAGCAATACCGCCGTCGACCTCACGTCCCTAATCAACAAGCTTGAATCGCCAATCACAATCAATTCATTTAGCCAAGTTCATCGATGTACCATGATGGCCAGCGAAGGCACAAGGGAGGTTCGTCTGGGTTTGTCTGATTAGCCTAAGTAAACTTACCGAATGCCCGCTTCATATTCGTCAGGTAGCTGTGAAGGTAATCATTATTGATCATAATAGAGCTATGCCGAAACTAGAGAAAGTCAGCTTCTCAATTGAGCTGTACTGACTAACAATTGACTGAACATTGACCTTGTAGGCGATGCGTCGGGAACTTCGTTTGTGGTTGAGATTGAAACACTTGAATATCGTGCCGCTACTTGGTATCGTACACGTCGAATCACCATGGCCAGCTCTTGTTTATCCATGGATGCCATCTGGGACGTTATATATTTACCTGGAGAAGCAAGCAGCGACCCTTTCGACTTCCACAAAAGTTGGATTGGTATGTCCCTTGTTCATACCAATCACATTCAACTAGCGTTCATCGATTCTTGTGTTACTAGGTTAAAGGTGTCGCTGATGGCCTCTATTATCGTTCGTCTATTTCTCGCAGGTCGTAGTCTTTCATTGATGCCTACGCAGTTCACTCGATGGATGTTGTACACGGAGACCTTCAACCCGTATGTACGGTTGTTGTTTCTTTGCGGATACTGCACTTATTTGTAAGCCAGGACAATGTGCTGATAGGCGATTCGGGGAATCCATGCCTCACAGGTTTCGGTCTCGCAACAGTCGTAGGAGACCCAGAGTTACAGTGGAATTCGACCACTGCGGCATGTGACTTCGATTCTCGATGGCGTGCACCTGAAGTCATTGGAATAGAGTCTGATGAGCCTGCACGACCAAATTACGCGAGCGATATCTATTCTTTTGGTAGCATTATGTTCTTTGTGCGATCCATTCCATGTCACTGTGGTGTTACCCTTGACTTTTTCCGTTCAGATCGTCTCTGGGAATATCCCATGGAAAGAAAAAAACTCGAATCACATCGCCATTGCGCTGTCAAGAGGAGCCACTCCTGCACGTCCTGAGAACATCCCCAATGGTTTCTGGAGTTTGATTGAACGTTGCTGGTCCCGGAACCCCATGGATCGTCCGGGGACTGCACACATCCTTGATTGCACTGATCAGTGCAGGATCGATGACTCGCAGGTCCGGCTGCCCAAGTATTTCATCACTGGCGGATCCTGATGCATTTTACTTAGGCATCCATCTCGGAACTTCCACCTCTGTAGGGTGTTCATACTGAAACAAGTCTTCATTGATTCAGTTCCCTCGGTTTTTTAGTCCCGAAACACAACTGGCACTAGTAGAAGATCTGACAGGTCAGATCTTCGGTTCGATAAATGACTACGTCGCCGGTGGTGCATTCGCAAACGTTTACAGATGTGAATGGAGAAAACCGTCGGGCCCTGTCAAGAAGGTCTGGCCAGTGGGCAGTGCTGGCGTCACTTGCTGATCAGCCTGTCCATTATCGCACTATAGGTCGCAGTAAAAACCTTCAGGCACCACATGAATCCCATCTCAGAGCAGGACTTGAGAGTAAGGGTCTATTTTTTCTGTTTTGAACGATATTTTACGTGGATTCGCTAGAGGTTTCGACGAGAAACTGCAATATGGGCACACCTCGTCCATGACAATATCGTCACACTTTATGGAACGACAGAGGGGTTCGGGTCAACTACAGCCCTTGTCTCCCAGTGGTTTCCGCACGGCACGCTGTCCCGTCTGATCACAGAACAGGGTGCTACATTAACCATCAAGTCCAAATTGAAGCTGGTAACTCAAACCTGTTTAGCTGCAATAGGCCTAAACTGAATTGTCCTTATTCACTAGCTTCACGGCATAGCATCTGGGCTCTACTATCGTTTGTACTCCCTTCACGGTCGTCTTGTTTCAACTAATGAATTTGTTGTTAGTTCACTCTTTTCCCATTGTTCACGGTGACATTACGAGCGTGAGCTCATCTTCTCTACAGTCAATTGCACTCACTAAACAATGCAGTCTAACGTTTTGGTAGATCTCAAGGAAGAAGAATACAAGGCTTGCCTAACGGACTTCGGTTTGTCAAATGTCCTCCGCGGACGTTTAAAAGAGTGTCAAATTGAAGAATCGATTGTTCGGCCTGGTGCCATCAGGTGGACTGCTCCTGAGTTGCTCAGGTCACGTGATTCCCCTTCCGATATCAAACCGACCACGCAGAACGACATGTATTCCTTTGGTCGTGTCATGTTCCATGTAAGTAGAGGCGTTTCAAGTCCACAAAATCTATATTTAATGAGTCATTCATCCCAGTTGTTGACTCTGATTGTTCCTTGGCATGACATTGACGATTACAGAGTCATTCAAAAAATCCAAAGTGGAGAGGATATTCCGCGTCCTGAGGTATCCGGGGCGACGTCTGATGTCACAGACGCCCACTGGGATCATATCGAGCAATGTTGGTCAGTTGATCCATCTGCTCGTCCATGTGCCTCCACGGCTATGAACTTCATAACAGGGGAACTAGAGGCTTTGAAACAAGATGTAAGCTCATGACTTGTCTCGTCACGTAGGAGTAGAGTTTCTGACTCTGACAGGATGTCTTTGTTAGCGGGGTACAAGAAAGCCGTCAAAATACATTCTTGGTCGCAGAGCAGGTATGAACTCGCCACTTGTGGTTGAAGTAATTTTGGCTTAAATGCTTATCAACCAGTCAAATATTTCTTCCGTACCATCGTTGCAGACACTTGTTCCGTCACGCAATGCCGTTCTCTCTAGTCCTTTAACACATCATCTCTTCTCTACGGTCTCGTCGCTGGTGAGAATCTAGTGGTGCATTGTTTTTACGTGTCCTGATCCTTCCACGCGGTCAAGTCACTTGCCGGTCCTTTGAATGTGCTGCTTTTCGGGGAGACTCAAGTTGGAAAAAGCTCCATCATCAACTTGATTATGGGACGCGACGTTGCGCAGACGTCGCCAGACGCAGCAACCTGCACATTGCAGCATACCTCCTACGAAGTCTGTCTTGCGGATCGCCAATTCAAACTTTGGGAAGTTTCCTCAATCGAATCAATGGGTTTTTTCCGAATCCTTTTTGCAAAATGGCGCCTGAAAAAGTCATACAAGAAGCTGTATAGAGATGATGGGGTCTACCTTCTTTTGTATTGCATGAGGGGATCGAGGGCTCAGAGAGCACTGATCAAGGATTATAAATTCTTCACTGACATCGTTGGCTCCACAGCCAGTGTGGGAGGTGGCATACCGGTCGCCGCCGTGGTCACCTCCTTGGAAGATTATCCTAAAGACATGGATGTGTGGTGGACGAGGAACAAGGACAATCTGGAACGCCTCGGAATGCGGTTCTCCGCACACGCTTGTATCACTTCTCTCCCTGACGATCCAACATCCTCACCCAGAATGCGCGCACGTCGACAGCGATCAGAACAAGTTATTCGCCGTCTTATTTGTGAGTCCTACAGAGCAGGCACCGAAACACCTCGCAGTTGCAGTGCAGCTTTGACTCGATGAAAGGCTGTTAAGCTTGCCTACACAATACGGTTTTTGAATGTCAGCCTCTGTAAGGCTGGGCCACTACACGTGTTACTTTATAATACTCCCAAGGTACTCTAGCTCATACATAGTTGGTACGACGTAATATTTGCTTCAATCTACCCATGTTTGTCACTACATAATTTACTGCAAAGCAAATGCGAAGTATGTAAAACGCACGCCCACAACAGACCAAGATCCCGGATCAATATCAGAGCAACGATGCAAGAAACCGTGTTTGACTATGAAATTTGAATCAGACATTCGACCGAGTGATATCAATATACACCACCACAGCAGGTCTGCGTGTATCGAATAAATCGAAATAGAAGTCACAAGTCATGTTATTGCAAAATGCATGTTAATGATCAGAGAAAGATGTCGATGATGTGTCATATATAGCAGAGGTCGTCAGAAGTAAGATGGTTAAAAACATGATAATAGGAAGGGAAGGACAGGAATGAAAAGGAAAAAGGAACACAACGATGAAAAGAGGAAACTCTTCCTCTTAAGTTCTTTTTCTCTTCCTTCTTCAAAGCAATCTCAACATGCGACTCATCCACAGGCTTCAAGCTTCAAGCTTCAAGGATCAACGGTGCGGCCGAGGAAGTAGATTGTCAAAGTCCAGCGATAGCAGTAGCATGGGCAATATACACACAACTTTTACAATTACAACTGGAAAGAACAGCCCTATAACGAAAGGGTATGACATTCTTTCACTACATATATCACTGAGTGCGTGGATGGATTCCATATTCATGACGACAAGAAGCAGATGAGGGTTGTGATTTGAAGTACAGTGCGGTAGCCGTTGGGTCCAGGTAAGAACGCTTGAAAGGAATATCAACTTGATGATTGATTCCTAGTGCCAACCTCAAAGCGTTGGGCTTTCGTACAAAATCCGCGAACAAACGGCCTTCGAGGAAAAGGAGGCGCCCATTTCTGAACAGCTGGTGCACGATTCTCGTGTCGACGAGACAGCAGCAGTATCGAAGGTGCTGTCACAAGCGGCTCGTGGTTTCTTGACGATCAGTAATTCCTCGATACCCAATTGGGCGCGAGGGTCAATTCCTCTGGTACGTACGACCATATTGTGGTTTATATTATCCAAGAGCGAATTGATTCGATCTATACAAATGGTGAGAATGGAATCAAGCGCAATGACGACCAATGCTCACCGTCTATGTGAGTAGGGAATGCGGACCTGCGGTGTCTAATCCAGATAAGCAATTTGCAGTACGCCGCCTTGTAAGGCACATGTTCCTCCGGACAAATCATGAGCAGGGACACACCCATTTTCTCTCTTAGAGTCTGGCGCGCCACCTTGATTACCAAGAGCATCAGCGAGAGAGTTTTCCAGAATTGAAATTATATTTACCTCTGTCAGAGCGATGATCTGCATGGACATACCATCATCAGTTGACTATAAGAGATGATTAATAACAAAAACAAGACCTTTTCCCCGTAGGGCTGCAATTCGCAGTCTTCCGAGTGATCGAATCCCATTATTTCGTCCGTAGCATACAGAAAATTCTCTAGAGTGCTCAGACGTTTAGCCAAACTTTTGAATACTGCTCGACGATCGAGTTTACGGATGTTGTTAGACATGAGGATTCACAGTACAAAGTGGGTGTAAGTATATGGAGAGATGGAATGAGATGGGAGGAAGAGAAACGCTGCCAGCACAAAATATATAGTGCTTGGATCCTTGGGACCACAAATTTTAGAGGCGCTCGCCACCCGTCATGTAACCGCATAAAAAGAACAAACATAAATATCACCGCATGGCTACGGTACATTCCATGAACTCTGCTAGTGAAGCGTCTTTGTGGTATGATGATTGTCCTTTGTTTTCTTCACCACGTTCATGTCGTCGTAGCAGTTACTAAAATGGGAAACACAATATGTGGATGGGTGGCGTGTGCGTCTGGCAACAGAGAGTATTTACTACCGTGACCAAGGTGCATACGGCCTACTTTGATGGATTCCTGAAACAATGGTTCTATGGACATATGCCACTCAAACCAAGAGACTTTGCAAAGCAATTCCATAAAAACGTGAGCCAATAACGCTGAAACCAGGACAGAAAAACCCAATAAACAATGCAATAGGTGAGTGAATTCCAATGATACCTCCACCAACGTTGTTCGGACACTTGACCTCCGAATGAGAAATTGTTTCTGTGTGCATCTCCTCAAGTGTCATTCGAGCTGGTGGGATCAGGATTTCACGGAAGTGAATACGTACCAACGAGACGCAATTGAACGACGCGCCTTTGTCAGATAATCTATCCCAAGCGGCATCGATTTCTGGCGAACTTGAAACAAGGCCATCTACGTTTGAAAGTTCCAGTCTTCCATAAATCCTTATAGCGTCTCATACTTGTAGAATATACTCACAAATTGCTCTGTAGAACAGGTTAGGGTACAACAGTTCTTTCGAAAATCAAGTGTTGTGGTGACAGTGAAAGATAACTCAACTGAACATGAAGAAGGTATTGGCCAGTCCTCGCTAGCTCGAAATCGAATGTGGTTCGGTGCTCTGGAGCCCAAGAATTTAGCAGTGAAAATTTATGTAAATGAGAGTTAATAGTTGTAATTTATCGAGTTTAACTTTATTTACACCAGGGTAATTGGACGAGCAAGCTCCTTAGCAGCTCGTTTTTTCGGGTCATCCCGAACTTCGCTTATGTCAAGGGCCTGTCCCTTCGTTGAGTGCCCCGTGCATCGTTTGACGTGACTAATACGTCTTTGCAATCCTCGTTGCCACCTCCTTTAGCGGAGTTATTTTGGCCTATGTCTAGCGGGACTTGGTGAATTGGGGTCCTTACCTCTTCTCACTTGAATTGCTCGTCTCGCTAGGTACGCCAATTATATTTCAGTTAGTTCTGTTCTCACTTGGATTGCTCGTCTCGCTAGCTATAGCTATCTTTCGCGCACATTGTTTTAATCATCGAATAAATTTCATCAGCAAACTACAATGGCCTTCTACAGCTCCTACAGAGTGCTACAGAGCCACAGCTTGGTCCCTTCTGTACAGCTCTGTACAGAACGTCCCAGCAACATAGTAAATAAACCAAAACAAAGTCGCAATTTTGGCATTTTAAAATGCCAAATGCAGGAATTGAACTTGGAATACTACGAGCAAAGTAACAAGACATAGTTACCACTGCATCATAGTGCCTTTGATAGCTAAAAAATACAATAACATTTATACCAATGTTACTCAAGCCTCATAATGTTTTCAACAAGTTGTACAATTTGCCCTTGTTCAAATCTATCACTTTTATGTTGTCTAATGTCTCAAAGTTCAAATAGATCTTTTCTTCAGTGAAACATTACACTAAGCCTTAGTTTAGAGCAAAGCTTATTAAATTTTTGTACAACTTGTTGAAAACATTATGAGGCTTGAGTAACATTGGTATAAATGTTATTGTATTTTTTAGCTATCAAAGGCACCATGGTGCAGTGGTAACTATTTCTTGTTACTTTGCTCATAGTATTCCAAGTTCAATTCCTGCCTTTGGCATTTTAAAATGCCAAAATTGCGACTTTGTTTTGGTTTATTTACTACGTTGCTGGGATGTTCTGTACAGAGCTGTACAGAAGGGACCAAGCTGTGGCTCTGTAGCACTGTACAGCTCTGTACAGAGCTGCACAGAAGATTGTAGTTTGCTGATGTCTCATGTCAGGAAATATGGATGGAACTTCACCAACAGTTTCGTCCATCCCCTCTTCAGGGGACACTCAAACTTTCGACCAAAATGCCGTTGACTCATGTCGGAAATATGTCGAGGACTTTCAAAAGGGGATCCTATCAAAGGGTGATGCCCTGCTTGAAATCCAGAGGGTTTTACATGCAGCCATTGCGGAATCGGAAGTATTATCCCAACTTGACTTTAAACCCGGCTTCAACCACTACCTCAAACTCCTTGACCGAGGCAGAGAGACTGAAGAATCACACGACATTCAAAGGAGCACAACTTTCGAAGGACAAAGTCGCGAAGATGAATCCCAACCAGAAGTTCCCAATGATATGGGAGTTAAAGAGAGGGAGCTCAGAGCAAAGCTATGAAAGAGAGTCCAATCTGAAGAAGAGGAAGGTAGTGAATTGGGAGATGATCACAAATACGACCTCCGTGGAAAAAGACGATGTCTTACTTCGGAACGGTTGCAGTTCTATCCCTGGCTTCAACCAGAGAAATATCGGCACATTTCATTCAAGCGTGCAGAAGAGCTTACCCTCGACTGTTACGAGGAGTGGTCAGAGGATTCCAAATATTATTGAGGACAAGTTACCGCAACTCCTGGGTGTCCCAGATTCCCTTTGTCTCAATGGACTCTCCTCCTCGAAGGGAGAGCGCCAGATCTTGAAAAAGTCTTATCGGGACACTATTCCACTTCCATTGATCCGAAACAATCTCAACCCCTTGGAAAGGGTTTTGAAATCACCTTGTCGCAACCTACCACAACTCACAAAGTTAAAACTTACGGAGACTGGAGTATCGCCATGGATCTCTGGGTTGAGGCACTCTCTTTCATCATGCCCTGGAAAGAGTCAGAGTTATGAGGATACAAAAGATACGTGTCCGGTTTTTTTGTTGACGTCCACTACAATCTCCACTCCCGAATCCTCGACTTCGATAAAGCATGTCGCCTCAAAATTGAAGGTCAAAAGTACTTACGGTTCGATGCCATCACCGAGTTCCGTCGACTTGAAGTCTCTCACCTCTTGTCGCTCAGAATGGTCGCATTCTCCGACCTTCAACAATTATCCTCCTCCTCCTTCTCAGGTGAGAAATCATTTGGAAAGGGAGGAGGAACAGGGAGGAAGTCGTCATGCTCAGAATCGTCTGGACGCAGAGAACCTTGTCACAACTGGAACCGCGGGGCTTGTGATAAAGCCACCAATGAGTGTCCCCGGTTCCACATCTGCAGCAAGTGTCGAGGAGGTCACAAATGGGGAGAATGTCCCCTGGCAAAGAATTCTAAATGAATTGATAGCTCATGGTCAACATTTTCGGAGGTGGATGATTTGGGGAGAAGAATCCGGAATACTTAGTGGAACGGCGTTATGGACCGAAACGGCTGATCCGTTACCACGTCCTCCTCCTTCAGAGTTCGAGAATGTTCCCGCTCTTACTACCATCGCTAATAATCCTGATCTTTTTCAAGTCTCCACGCCTATCAATATAGATTGGTTCGAAACTATCCTCACACAAGCCAATCATCCCAATCCTCCTTTCGTTCGCTCTGTTTGTCAAGGGTTACGAGAAGGGTTTTGGCCCTGGGCCGACACCCAATATGGGACCTATCCTGTCACTTGGGACATACCTTCCCCTACACCCTCTTCTAGCCTTGAACGCGACTTTCTTCATAGCCAGATTCTCAAGGAAGAGTCTGTGGGTCGGTATTCTCGCAATTTTGAGCCAAATCTTTTGGCGGCAATGTATAGTATGCCGATTCACGCCGTACCCAAAGAGGGAGGAAAATTTTGCCTTGTCACTAATCATAGTGCAGCTTATCGACACATGCCTATGCATCCCTTGTGGCAAATCAAGCAGATCGTCTCTTTTGATGGAGAGTGGCGAGTCGACAGAGCTAATGTTTTTGGTGGACGAGCTTCTCAGCGAATTTTCCACGCTTTCATGTCACTCATCATTTGGATTGCTGTCTTCATCCGACTTATTCAAGCTTTCATTTACATTGACGACTCTTTCTCCTTCGCCAAATGAGGTCATCTATCATATTATGCCAAATATCGTAAGACGCTACCTTCTGACATGGTCACGCTTCTCCTTCTGTGGGATGAGTTAGGAATTCCCCACAAAGAACGGAAGCAAGTATTCGGATCACCTCTTCCAGTCATCGGATTCGAGGTGGACCCAAACCTAATGAAAATTACCCTCAAAGAGGAGTCGAAGAAAGGTTTAGTCCAAGAGTTAAAGGATTTTGCGAGGTATAAGAGTCGAAGGTCTCTACGGGACTTCAAACATATAGCGGGATCACAGTTTTCTTTGGCTATGCAAGGACGGCTCTGTGCCTACTCGCGCATGGTTTATTAGCCACTTACGCATGCTGTTTCCTGATTCCATATCGGGACACTCATTGTGTGCCGGCGGAGCCACTTCTTTAGCGGCAGCCAGAGTATCGGCCAATTGTATTCAAGCTATGGGACGTTGGAGCAGTGACTCCTTTCATATTTACATCCGAAAAAATCCAGCATTATTACATGCACTTCTCTTCAATGGACGCTCCATTCATGATCGTGCAGTACCTTTTCATTCTATTTAATATATTTCTACTTACTATTTCTACTTCTTTCCACACCTTCTGTTCCCTCCCTCCCTCCCCATATAGCTGGAGTTATAGTGTTTGTCTTAGTAGTGTCAGTCGAGTTTGGGCATGTTTGTCTCCCAAATCCATTGGGGACCCCATGTTCTCGCATCGGGGTCCTCGAATTTGCTGGCTAAACTCCTCATTGTCTGTGTGCTCACGAGACTTAAGCGAGGACAATTAGCTGCAAAACAAATACAAAGTATGCGCCCACAACAGACCAAGACCCCGGATCAATACCAGAGCAACAAGATGACTATGAAATTTGAATCAAACATCCGACCGATATGCAGCACCACAGCAGGTCTGTGTCTCGAACAAATCAAAAATCGAAGTCGCAATGCAAAATGCATGTCAATGATCAGAGAAAGATGTCGATGATGTGGGTCGTCAGAAGTAAGATGGTTAAAAACCTGATAATAGGAAGGGAAGGATGATGAAAAGAGACGGGGATCGGAGAGAAAAGAGAAAACTCTAGAGGAAACTCTTTCTCTTATTCTTCTCTTCCTTCTTCAAAGCAATCTCAACATGCGACTCATCCACACTCTCCCTAACACTTCCAGTAGGAGGCGTAGACGCACTCCCACGGCTCGCCAGACCCATGTCTCGTATGTGAGTGTCCCGGGGTAAAACGCTAGGCAGTTTCAAAGCTTTACCGCTAAGACTTATCTTCCTCGCAAGTCTCTGAATATTCTGTTCGAGAGTCGTCGTCGTCGTATCCGGCTGGAGCTTTGGGACCTTTGGACGCGCTGATCTAGTCTGTCTACATGGATGCTCTTGTTTAGAGATATACAAGCAAGAACAAGAGAGAGAACTAATATTCTTGCGCAGTAGGAGGTGAGCAATGAGTGTTATTATTATTCGGCATATTCCGTAGTATACTCATTCTATTCTAAAGTCAGATAGTCCGAATCTCCGCTACTTGTCAGTGCACGGATCATGTCGCAGGTATGTTTACTGATTGTTCAGTCGTACCTGCTATAACAACACTCCCCCTCAATCAGGAGACATGCCTAGACCTTGAATAAGTCTTTCGTGATCCGGTTTAGGTAGCGGTTTGGTGAGTATATCGGCTATCATCCTTTTTGTAGGGCAATAAACTTCATGAATCTTTTGTTCACAAATCTTTTGCCTTATATAGTGACTTTTTACATCGAAATGTTTCGACTTTGCGTGATATTGGGGGTCTCGTGCTATTGCTAGCGCCGCCATATTATCTCCGTACAAGGTAGTTGGAGTGTTTTGGTTGAAATTTAGTTCCTGAAATAGATTTCGAAGCTAGATGGCTTCACGCGCTGCGTGCGCCATCGCTGTATATTCTGCCTCCGTCGAAGACAGTGAAACAGTGTTCTGTTTCTTTGAACTCCAGGTAATTGCTCCATCACCTAGCTTAAAGACATATCCTGAGACTGATACTCTGTCTCTAGGATCATTGGCGTAATCAGCATCAGACCAGCCTTCAATTTGGACTTCGTTTTTGTCAGTAGAGCCTCGATATAGGATCCCAATGTTTCGTGTACCAGATAGGTACCTTAGTACTCTTTTTGCAGCTGTCCAATGTGCTAATCCCGGATTCGAAGTGAACGAGCTTAGCCTTTGGATGGCATATGCAATATCCGGTCGCATTGCTACTGCTAGGTACATCAGAGATCCGATTAAGGATGCATAACCGTTATTATGGTTGCCCTCTTGGTCAGTCTCTTCTTTCTCTAGCACAATTTTGGGATCTAATGGCATTCCTACAGTGTCAGACTTCTGGAGACTATATTTTTGCAGGATTGACTCAATATACTTGGTCTGTGAGATTCGGATCGATTTATTCGGTCGATCTCTTGTTATCTCTATTCCTACAATTTTTCTCAGTTCTCCAAGGTCAGTTACATCTAGGATGCTCTTTAATTGAGCTTTGAGTTGATTCATTAAGTCTTTATTACTCGTAAACAGCAGTAAATTGTCGACCCAAACGGTGATGATTTCTGTTCCGTTTTCCGACCGCCTTATATACACACATGGATCCGATATCGTGCGTTTGAATCCTATGTTGTTCAGGCGTTTATTTAACTCAATGTTCCACTCTCTCCCTGATTGTTTTAGTCCGTATAGGGTCTTCTTAAGTCGACATACTCGACCAGTACCATCATTGTACCCTTCCGGTTGTTCCATGTATACTTCCTCTTTCAGGATACCATTTAGGTATGCTCCCTTTACGTCCATTTGCTCTATCTCCCAGTCGAGGATAGCAGCTGATGACATAATAGATCGTATCGTCTCTAGACGAACGACTGGGGAGAAAGTATCGGTATAGTCCATACTGGGAATTTGTGAGTACCCTTTTGCTACCAGTCTTGCTTTATATTTGACGACTTCGCCCTCTTTGTTGGTCTTTTTAACTAGGACCCACTTATTCCCTACAATCTTTCGATCTTCGGGAGGATCTACAAGTTCCCATGTACCCATTTCCTTTAATTGGGTAAGTTCTGTGTCTATGGCTCCTTCCCACTTGTCCCAATCTGTTGATTTGCATGCATCTTTCAGCATATGAGGCTCTGTAGGATCGAAGCTTCCATTTTCGACAATGGCTTTCATGATGATGTCGGCTTTGGTCTGGGTAATTTCTGTCTCCTCATATCCACTTTCGTGATTGAGGTAAGCCCATTCCTTTACCGGATCATTCAATTTACGATAGTCTTGTCTAACTACCTTTCTTTTTGTTCTTCTAGGCAGTTCGTTTTCTAGTGGACGCATCCGTTTTCGTTCTGAGGGAGTAGAGCTTTCGCTCCTTCTCTCTTCAGTCATTGGTATGTCTTCGTCTACTCTGCGCTCATTCTCTTTTGTAAGTGGTTTTTTAGGTGTACGCATGTCAGCAAGAAGCGCCAGATGTGCAGCACGAGGGGGAGAAATGGAGTACAGACACGCAGCCATTAGGTGTACGCATGTCAGCTCCCCCTGATGGCTGCGTGTCTGTACTCCCTTTCTCCCCCTCGTGCTGCACATCTGGCGCTTCTTGGGGAAGTTCTTTTTGCAGGAATTGATAGTTCCTGCTTATTCGGACTTGACGCGTTCGAGCATCATAGTATCTCACTGCCTTCGGTCCGTCTTCATATCCTACAAAGACGTGCTTTAATGACTTTGGCCTCATTTTAGACGGTTTTGCTCCTTCCTGCAATATATATACAGGTGTGCCAAACTCACTAAGGTGAGATATGTCCGGTTTTTTACCACTCCAAAGTTGCTCAGGGGTTGCACTTTCCAGTGCTCGCGTTGGCGCACGATTTCGTAGATAAGCAGCATGTGCTACTGCTTCTGCCCATAAGAATTCAGGTAAGTCTTTGGCTATTATCATCGCACATGCTAATTCGGTCAAGGTGCGGTTAAATCTCTCAGATATGCCATTTTGTTCTGGTGAATACGGCGCTGTCATCTGGAGTATAATACCTTTATCCTTGCACCAAGTAAGTAGCTCATTATTGATGTACTCTTTGCCATTATCGACGCGAACCTTTTTAGGTCTATTCTCCCAGCGTCTTTCTAGGTAGGTAAGGTGTTGTTTCATCTTTGTGGTAGCCTCATTTTTGTGTTTCAAGAATACGATGCTAACTCTTCGAGAGCAGTCATCAATAAATGAAATATAATATTTGGCTCCACCAATCGATTCTACCCTCGCCGGTCCCCAAAGATCACTGTGAGTTAGGTCTCCGGGATCTTTGGATCGTTTATCAATACTGTCAGGAAATGGTTTGCATACCTGCTTGGCTTGTATACAAGCCTCGCAGTCAACAATGGGTGAGTTTATATCAACTTCTAACCCATTGACTAAATTTTCCTGACATAGACATTTTAGACCACTACACGCGATGTGTCCATACCTTCGATGCCATGTCATCCAATCGGTTTTTAATCTCTCCTGCGCAGTTTGTACTCGAGTCTTTGGATATAATTGAGCTCGAGTATTTAACTTATATAGGCCATTGGTCATATGACCTTTCACTATGGTACGTCCTCCTTTTACACTCAAGGTGACTTTACCATCTCCCATTAGCGCATTTCCTCCCTCTTTATCTAATCTCGTGATTGATATGAGGTTGTTGGAAGCACTTGGGACATATAGGACATCGGTAAATTTTGCTCTGATTTGTCGATTGCCGAATGTACTAACGAGTTCAATTGTACCTTTTCCGAGCGCTCTTAGGGACTCTTTTCCTATCCCCAGTACTCGGTGCTCTTCAAGCAGCACATAATCGGTCAATGCCGATCGAATCTTCGTTATATGGGATGATGACCCAGAATCCGCAAACCAATCATACCAGGCAAGTCTCTCAGATTTGTCTCCTCCTACATTTACATTTTCAGTATCTTCCGCTATTTCAGTAAGATCTTCAGCAAGTTTTGATGTACTGGCCATATAGGCCACGTCATCCATGACTTCGTCCTCATATCCCATAGGCACTTCTTGGACTAGCTGTGCTTTGTCCTTTTTCAAGCGCTTTTTGGCGGACGGTCCTTCACCTGCTTTACCACCTCCTTTAGCCCAACAGTCCTTATGCTCATGTCCGGTCTTGCTGCAATTGGAGCATTTCTTGGACCTATGCCTACAATCATCTTCGGTATGTCCTGTCTTCTTACACACCTTGCACTTCTTTATATTTCCGTCTTTCTTCTCATTAAACTTTCGCTTTTTAGCTCCTTTTACCACTATCTTGCTCTCGGTAAATTCCACTTCTCTTTCCTTTCGTCGACGGTCTTCTTCGAGAATCATTGCAACGAGCTCGTGTGACGTCATAGTAGGGTTACTTTGGTGAGTTACGATGAATGTCTCCCAGCTTGGTGGTAGTGATCCCATCAGGATAGTGCGGAAATCTATATCCGGCACCACATTCCCCATTAAATGGAGATTTTCCTGGATCTGTTTAAGCTCGATGATGTGGGCAGGAATATCTTTGGTCTCTGAAGCAAAGGTTCGGTACAACTTGTGCCTCCAGGTGTAGATACCTTGCTGACCTCGAGATTCTTTGATGAGTTTCAGCTGGTCCCACATTTCCTTGGCAGTATTGGCACCTGTAAGGTGAACCATTTGTGTATCGCTTACAAGCAACACTATCACGGTCCTTGCCTTACGATCCTCGGCTTCCCATTTGGCTATAGCGGTAAGCCTGTCAGCTAATACAGGGCTTTGGCCCCTAGCTGGTTTGGTCTTTGTTCCATCTATATAGCCTTCGAGTTCCTTTATCACCAAGAATAGCTTGAACTTTCGTCTTCCAGGGGATCCAATTGTTCTCGCTGAGGTGTTCAATTCGGTAGAGTGAAGATCCAGCAGAGGATTGATCAGACATTTTGATAGATTAGCTCTTGTTTTTGATATTAATAATATGTTTATTTGCGCACGCCAGGGCTCATAACCTCTTGTTTAGAGATATATGAGCAAGAACAAGAGAGAGAACTAATATTCTTGCGCAATAGGAGGTGAGCAATGAGTGTTATTATTATTCAGCATATTCCGTAGTATACTCATTCTATTCTAAAGTCAGATAGTCCGAATCTCCGCTACTTGTCAGTGCACGGATCATGTCGCAGGTATGTTTACTGATTGTTCAGTCGTACCTGCTATAACAACAGATGCAAAGAGGCCGTTGAGTTCAAGAAGCTCCCTATGTAAGCTCTATTCAATAGTCCATCCTTCAGAACCATAATCTTTCAGAAGAAACCAAATCCGAGTCAGCACCGGATATCACCAAAAAAAAACATTCAAACAACCACTCACAAATCAGCCCCCTCAATCTCGATTCTCGACCGATTACTCAAACAGGTCCTGCCATTCACAAGTCTCCCAAGCGCACCCTCTAACACCCTGTGCACCTATATACTGTCAAGCGTTCTAGTCATGTGCATCAGGGAAAACCTCCTTCACAAAATCAAGGTAATTTCACAAACTCGCATGAAAATACTGAGAATTCGGTAAATTATTTGTATTCAAAGGTATTTCAACAAATTTCATTGTAATGCTCAGACAAGTGTTAAATAAGCATGTCGGTCACTGAAGGGGTTTACAAAGAAGGTGGAACAGCACTCCAGAACAGTGCTACTCGTCCACTCACGAGGTGCCGCTACGCCGAAATTAGGTATAAGATGAATGCTCCTACAGATATCTGATATCTCAATGATGCTTGCCAGACGTTCTCCATGACGAATCAAGCGGGCAACTTTGTACAACCCATGGTGTGATTCCGGTTGCTGGAATGGAGTGAACCATTCCACATAGGCAAGGTGGGTGGGTGGTTGTGCAGGTCCAGCGCGGAATAACACATTCGAAGCTTGATTTGTTAGCGTAAAGACGACACGGACTTGCGCAACACGGTAACCTTCAGTGATCGAGTGAGATTAGTGACTAACATGTTCAATGCACCATACAAAACGCACCATCCACGCCTGTTGTCCCGCCGTCCCCTTCGTTGACCAAAACTGTGTCAAAACGCGCGGGGATCATATGCCCTCGCTTGTCCTCTTGTGATGGTTGACAATGGACAGAATCCACGGTGACACTCGAGTCCTGGATCCCCCGAGCATTGATTGAGTTGAATTTGATCCTGTGGAACGTAGCCACAGTATCAAAGGGAATAATGATGTGAGCGGCCTCGCGTTCGAGTTGTGCTGCAGACAAACCAGGTTGATTTCTCCCGACGACGTAACGAGCCAAAGCTTCAGTGAAAAATGTGGCGCCATACTCCCGCACAATGCGGTCCAACTGGACACGCTTGATGGTCGGGTGTTTAGTCATCTTGATTGCGCGACGATAATCCATGTCTGGAGGTATGATTTCTTGCGGGGCAATATCACCAACGAGACGCCATTGGACAAAGTTGTCGTGCCATAGAATCTTCTCCCGTCTTTCGAGCCAGAGTGTCATTTGAGTGTACTCGTCTTTATGGTTGGTAGCCCTATAGGCATCCTTCGTGAGGTCGATGTGTAAATGTTCTGTGTACTCGGTGTTGTAGTTGTCAGTTGTACCATACGTTTTTATCATATGTACATAGTGACGGAAGCCGTGAAGCTTCGGAAGGTTGAAATTCGAGCGGATTCCAAGATCAAGGAAGATGTCCTTATTGTCGTGAAAGCGTGTTAAGGCATCATCGAGAAGTGCCAGTGTTTCGTCCGTATGACAAGGGTATTGCGCAAGGTACAGGAAATCAAGGATGGCACGAACAGCACGAGTAAGGCGAGCATTGTTGAGATTTCCAGGCAACCGTATGCCAATGACAATGCCGAGCAGGAAGCGACAGATTTGATTGTGCTCCGTTCCACTAACACGCGAGAGATTACTGATACCCTTGAGAAACAATCGGATATTATGGTTTGGGGGAAGTCTACGACAACGAGCATCAATTTCGGCTTCGCTATATGCCTCCTTGATCCACTCGATGAGGTGCTTTACAATACCCTGGTAGAGTTGATGTAACACGTCCGGCGTGATGGATTGGAATATATTAGCATGCGGGAGATCCAGCCAGAATGGTTTGTAGATGGGCTTAATGCCGCGCTCCTGGCATGCTTGTCTCCACAAGTCATAGTCCTCATCAACGAGCGACAATGCAGCGACAATTGCCTCGAGGTCTCGCAGCTTGACAGGAACATCAGGACTTCCCAACTCCTCATGCGGGACATCGCATTTTGGGCATTCTCCAGATTTTATCCCAGTTGTCAACAACTGTTCCGGGTAATCGGCGGAATAACATGCGACAATCGGATGTCCTCGACGCACAACTCCATCCCCACTAGCCATAGCAACACCATCCTTGCCGGGGACTCTCAGAGGCTCCAGAATGTGACGCACACAAGCATGAAATAAATTTGTGGCCGTTCGGCGCCTCGCAGCCTTGTTTGTGATATGTTCGAGTTTTGAGGTTGGTAGATAGGCCAGGAGAATCCACGCCCGTCGAGATGGCTTTCGACGGATCTCCTTCGGAATGTTGCCTATTGTCATATAGACAGGATAGGCAGATTTGTTCCTAAACATGGTGACCTGCGTCTTGTCGGAGGAAAGGATGATGGGTATGACTGTTGCGCCAGGTTTCTCTGCTTCGAGTTCTTTCTAAATGATATTGTGGTAAGTTCAATATGAATCAGAACGTTTTTCAAAAGACTCGCCTGCGTGGACCACCACCACTTTCCTGTATGCATATCATGATACATTCGGATTGTTTTGTCAGCATCGACATAATGGCGTTCGGGAGTGTAGTTGAGGTGTTGCGAGAAATCCGGATCTGAATAAAGGGCTTTGACGCACTCCATGACGTCACGCGAGTACACGTCAAATGCTTCGTCTGCAACAATGATTTCTTCACGTTTGAAACGAGGTCGTCGGCATGGTAAGTGTCGGTCAATGATTTGATTGAGTTCACGGGTGTTTCGATACGAAAGACCTAAGGCATCATGAAGCTATAGAAACGTAGTTAAAAAGTTGGCCCATTCATGACCCAAGAAAATGAAGACTCACCCCTTCGACTGCAAGCAGCTCTGAAAAAGCAGTTGAGCCCGATCCACGAAGTTTTGCCCACTTTGCAACCTCGTAGTCTATGCGAGATGCGAAGGGAGCCCAAACATTGTCTGCGCCTTGCAGAGCATTGTTATAAGACTCGAAAGCGGTAGTGCCAGAGTTAAGTATTGGAGCACCTGCATGGCGCCGCGGAAATTTCTCAATAGTGGGCTGGCGACCAAGGGCTTTCTCCGCTTCTTGTCGTTCGGCTGCATGTGATTGTGGCAACATATCTGACTCCTCAAAAACATCAACGTCGATATCCTGCGGTACAGGATCTGCAGGGCGTTCCCACCCATTCTCAACCTCAACCTCTGCATTGTGATCCTCTTCCTCGCCATCAGAATCCAAAGGAGGCTCCGCCGCTGCAACTTCGTCATTATCATCTGGCCATTCCAGATCTTGTTCGTTGTAGTGGCCAAAATAGTCTCCTGTAAATTCCGTTAGATGACGAGGATCAACATTGTCATCTCCATCATCAAGACCGTCAGAATTCTCAACCTCAGGCTCTGACTGAGGAAAAAGACCAGAATGTTGTAATAGGGCTGCGCATGATGGATTCGTGGTCTTGGCTAGGTGATGGGAGTATCCAGCGTGCTCGAAGTTTTTGGTGCAACCTGGGCAAGTGATCATTTTGTTGGCAACAAAACAGGCGGTAGGTAGTGGTGGTAGGTAGGTAGGTAGTGATGGGTAGTAGAGAGACGGTGCAAACCTTACAGCGTGCTATCCAGTGTGAAGATTCACACACTGTGAACCGAGTTTGATTTGTTGCCTGGCAGTACAGGTTTCAAAAAGGTACAGGCTCCCTTCCTTAGCATGGAAGGGTACGAAGACGCGGCCAAAGACGCGGTTGTTTCAAAAAGGTATAGGCTCCCTTCCTTAGCATGGAAGGGTACGAAGACGCGGTTTTTTCAAAAAGGTACAGGCTCCCTTCCTTAGCATGGAAGGGTACGAAGACGCGGCCACACAACACGAATTTACTTGATATTTCAGAACAGGTTAGATTACGGTGACAGCACGGCAACAAACAAACGTACTAAAATGATGGTGGCACACTGTGAACCGAGTTGGATTTGTTGCCTGGCAGTACATGCTTCTGCCTGGACTCTCTGTCCATCAGCATGGGCTACACGTGCCTCAGCTTCTTTGATGATGCGGCGAGCTGAACCTGAGAGGGGAGGAGAGGGAGCACCATTCAAGTTGACGGTTGCAGCTTGAAATTCTGCTAGTAGACGCTCTGCTTGTTTTAGCCATTTCTGTAACCACACGTTAGATGAAAAAAAAACCAACGACCCTAGCGCTGGCACAGCACAGTAAAAAAACAGACCTGAAAATGAGAGTGGCCACCAATAAGTTTTCATAACCGTCTCAACCTTTCCCTTCCCAACTTCAGCTGAAGCAAACACTACTAGTAGTATGCCTCCGAGTCCCCATCTGTCTTCAACGCCGTCAGATATAGCCGCCCACAAGCGGAACGCCCAAAGAAAGGCCCAGGTGGCAAGTCAAGATTCCACTGGCAAAAAAACCGGCAATACAGAAGAGAGTGAGTACATCCATAGGCCAAGAAAAATGCGATGGACTCACAGTCATCACCAAGAACCACTGCAGCGGTCATCCAAAGTAAAGGCCTTAGAGCGAAAAAGTTAGTACAGGCAATTGGAGAAAGCAGTCATTGACACACCTTGTTTCAGTCTGGAATGAGACAACGACCAATACTCGTAAGCGCGCACCCACAGTAACTGCGCTACAATCAGTACCAGCCGCCAAGTTAGCGCGAAAGAATGAGACAACGACCAATACTCGTAAGCGCGCACCCACAGTAACTGCGCTACAATCAGTACCAGCCGCCAAGTTAGCGCGAAAGACACCTGCAGAAAAGTTAGACAATGGTTAGTAGTTGCTTAACAGATCAGTATGAGAGATACTCAACAGCGGATCAAGTCAACGGTCATGGTCAAAGTCAAGGCCGCGATAAGAAAAACAGCAAGCTGCCAAAGTCAGTCGCAGTGTCAATCGAAGATAACGACTCTGTCAGTGAATACGGAGAGAGTGATCATGACACCGACAAATCGGACGATAATGCGGAGGTTCCAGAAGACGATGATGAGGACTTAGTACCCTCCCAGAAGGAACTGATTAAAGAGGTGAGTCGTCACTTAGCTACCCAAAGTTGAGAATGATGAAAAAAATGACGCACCTTTTATTTAAGATTCCCTACATGATGCCTCCTCGTGCAGCTAGATCTGCCAGCGCACTATCGCAAACCAGCAAAACATTGTCGAATAGTGTTCGGATGACATCTAGCGGGGTTTCTGACGAGTCTGAGTCAGAGTTGCAGTTTGCTGACAAAGACACGGAGTCTGCCAGTGACCGCAGTGACAGTCAACGTTCCAAGGCAAGTTATGATTACCGCGAGCCTTCATCACTCACCAACTCGAAACCACAGCCAAGCAAGAAGAAGAAGAAGAAAAGGAGCAAAGTAGCAGAAGCACGTCAAGAAATTGAGGTGATGTGTTCTACTCTACTACGCTCCCATCACTCTGTCTTACTAATGAATATACTGTTTTCTAGAGGCCCAAATTCGCAGAGTCGCGGCAGCTAACAGACGAGGCACTGCCAGCCTCCGCCGATAAGGAGTTGTCTGAACACTCCTTTACATGGCCTATATTCACAGATCTAGTCTACTCAGCCGATAGCTCGATCAACCTCAAGGCTCAGAATACTCGGATTCAGCAGGTGTTGAAGACTGCCGTCTTTGAACTCAAGAAAGCCTCTATCTTCGACAACGCATTTCCCAACATCACTCAGAAGCGCAAGATGGCTCTCGATGCAGTTTATAATGCTGCCGGGAAGCATAAGGAATATGCGATAGCAAAGAGGATCAAGCATGACTTTGATTATGCGGTGGCTCTCGCTGGAGTGGTATGTACACTTCTTGTATGTTACTGGACATCACTGACATCCTCACAAGCCGGAGGGACGGCTTAGTTCCTTCCGTACTAATCTCAAGAAACTCGCGCATCAAATTGTGGTCTCTCGTTTTGGACTCAAGAAAGGCTGCGGTGACGAGGTAGACGACCTCATCAAGGGTCACAAGTATATTTTCCCAACCGACGCCAAGGTCTGTTCATTTTTTCGTTATCTATCTCTTCATTTATCTTATTCTTATCCACCACCCAGGGTAAGGTCCTTGGGGACCAACCGTTTTGTGACGAGTCTATGGTTGACTCCATCCGTTTATCTTTTTTCGATGGTGAGAACTCAATTGGTGTCCAGTCCTGTGACGATTTTGTCTCGGTCTTGGATGGAAACAACGAGCCCGAGCTACCTGTTGCTATGGTGTGTTTGATTGCAACGCTTGTAGGTGCCGCTCTTGATAATGTTTACTCTGTTTGCTCACTACATAATGTTCTCTGCAGATTTACTCGATATTGAAGGATTGGAGCAGCGGGAACCCACCCTCAGGCGCACAAGTCAAATCATTCAATTCCTCCTTCCACATCAGTGTTTACAACGCTCACCAAGCGACTCTCACACGCATCTTTAACGGTAGTCGAAAGAAGTACCATGTACTGATGGCGCGTCTCTACAAGGCAGTCAGGTATGTCTTGCTCACGCGCTATTTGTTATCGTCGTGTACTCTAACTAATTCAACATTAGTGCAGTAGAAAGCTCAGAGCCCGCTGGTTCATTGGACGCCGCTTGTGATTACCTTGATCTTGATGCAATGGGTGAAGATTAATCAACCTTCCGAGTCATTTGTACATACTGGTGCTTTTTCGAGTCTGCTGATCTTTTTGCCGTCTTTCGGTTGTGATATTCTCGTTTAATTCTAATATATTTGATGTTCGTGTGTCTTCACATTGTTTGAATTCAAGATAATTCAAGATAATCAATCAGCAAATTCAAAGGATTTCAAAGGAATTCAAAGGAATTTCGACTGGAGTTGAATAATCTCGTTTACTTTTATTTCAGCGGAATTCAGAGGAATTCTCTGAAATTACCTTGATTTCGTGAAGGAGGTTTTCCCTGATGTGAATCATCATACCTATCGTCGTTGACCGTGCTGTACACTGTTCCCTTATCGTCACGCGCACAAATGCTCACTAGTACCATGCACGGTGAGTACGAGGTGTACTATAGGACGAAGTTCTCAACACATTAATGTTGTTCTTTCTATCCGTATAAGATGACCATGCCACCATTTCCCAGTAAATCAAATTCCAAAAAAACCTGAGCGGCTGAGCCTTTGATGCCTCACTGACAATCACATCAGACCTTTTATTTGTCTAGACATCAGTGAAACCTTTCAGTTGCGTCTGTGCTGGGTGCAGATTCAGATCACGAATCCAACTTTGTGATAGAAGTATTTGAACTTGCTTTTCAGAGCTGTCATTAATCTATTGGAGAATGATGAATATCATCATCGACGAGAAGCCATCCAAGGCGCCCCAGGCCGAGGTCTAGTTACAAGTGAAAGGAGTACATAGATGACATTGCGAATTAGGGGGCGGGATCCCGAGGGAAATGACTCCAGGCTTCAAGCTTCAAGGATCAACGGTGCGGCCGAGGAAGATAGATTGTCGAAGTCTGGCGATAGCAGTAGCATGGGCAATATAGGCACAATTACAATTACAAAAGAACAGCCCTATGACGAAAGGGTATGACGTTCTTTCATTACATATACTACGGAGTGCGTGGATGGATTCCATATTCATGACGACAAGAAGCAGATGAGGGTTGTGATTTGAAGTACAATGCGGTAGCCGTTGGGTCCAGGTAAGAACGCTTGAAAGGAATATCAACTTAATGATTGTTTCCTAGTGTCAACCTCAAAGTGTTGGGCTTTCGTACAAAATCCGCGAACAAACGGCCTTTGAGGAAAAGGAGGCACCCATTTCTGAACAGCTGGTGCATAATTCTTATGTCGACGAGACAGCAGCAGTCTCGACGATTAGTAATTCCTCAATGCCCAATTGGACGCGAGGGTCAATTCCACTGGTGCGTAGAACTATTTCATGGTTTATGTCCTCCAAGAGCGAATTGATTCGATCTATACAAATGGTGGGAATGAAATAAAACACAACAACGACCAATGCTTACCGTCGATGTTAGTGGGGAATGCGGACCTGCGGCGTCTGATCCAGACAAGCAATTTGAAGTAAGCCGCCTTGTAAGGCACGTGTTCCTTTGAACAGAGCATGATCAGGGACACGTCCATCCTCTGTCTAAGCGTCCAGCGTGCAACCTTCGTTGCCAAGAGGCCATCAGTGAGAGTGTTTGCCAGAATTGAAATTATTTTACCTCCGTCAGAGTGATGATCTGCATGAATATAACATCATCAGTTGACTATACGAGATGATTAACAAGGAAACAAGACCTTTTCCCCGTAGGGCTGCAAATCGCAGTCTTCCAAGTGATCGAATTTCATTATTTCGTTCGTAGCATATCGAAAATGGTGTAGAGTGCTCAGACGTGCAGCCAGACTTCCGTCGGAGACTGCTCGATCGAGTTTACGGAAGTTGTTAGACATGAGGATTCACAATAGAAAGTAGATATGAGGATATAGAGAGATGGAAAGAGGTGGGAGGAAGAGAAACACTGCCAGCACGAAATATATAGTGCTTATATCCTTTAAGTTGAGATCACAACTTTCAGAGGCGCTTGCCACAGGTCATATAAGTACATCAAAAGAACAAACATAAATATCACCGCATAGCTACGGTACATTCCATGAGCTCTGGTAGTAAAGGGTCTTTGTGGTGTGATGATCGTCCTTTGTTTACTTCACCACGTTTGGCATGTCATCGTAGCAGTTACTTAAATTGGAAATACACGATGTGGGTGGTCAAGGAACAGCGGCGTGTGCGTCTGGCAACGGAGTATTCACCGTGACCAAGGTGAAAACGGCCTACTTTGGGGGGTTCCTAAAACAAAGGTTCTATGGACATATGCCACTCAAACCAGGAGACTTTGCAAAGCAATTCTATAGAAACGTGAGCCAATAACGCTGAAACCAGGACAGCAAAACCCACTAAACAACTTGAATGTAATAGGTGAGTGGATTCCGATGATACCTCCACCAACGTTGTTTGGATACTTGACCTCCGAATGAGGAACTGTTTCTGTGTGCATCTTCTCAAGTGTCATCCGGGTTGGTGGGATCGGCATTTCACGGCGTACCAATGGGACGCAATCGAGCGACGCGCCTTTGTCAGGTATTCTGTCCCAAGTGGCATCGACTTATGGCAAACTTGAAAGAGGGCCGTCTACGTTTGAAAGTTCCAGTCTTTGCTCTGTGGAACAGGTTACAGTATAAGAGTCCTTTCGAAAATCAAGTGCTGTGACAGTGAAAGATAACTCAACTGAACATGAAGAAGGTGTAGTGGCCAGTCCTCACTAGCTCGAAATCGAATGTGATACAGTGGTTTATATTAGGGAGAATCCATAAATCTTGCTGGATCCCTCTTGACCCCAGGAATTTGGTGGTGAATATTTGAATGAGGGTTATTATAACGGTTATTGGGATCCAGAATCATCGGTATCGTGTTGTAATCACGTGTTGGAAATAGTGCGCCAGTGGCAGAATTATAATACCGCCGCATCTCAGCAAGTCATCTCAGTTCATCATTTGCAACTGTGATACGCTGGCCTCCCTCCTTCACTCGTCCAGCATATCCATGATCATTAATTGAATATCTTACCAATCACAGATACCCTGGATATGAAGCAAAAAAAAAGCGCGAACAAGAGCCACCATCGCCCTGGGCCGTATACCTCCGCCCTAGTTACCTCAGTCTCACAGGACTGCTGATGTCGGTAAGCACCCTCAGATATGTAGGAAATCCTACCGAGTCATTCTTACGCATGTCTAGGGTACCGTGATTTTCATCCGCCCCGCCTAGGACAGGATATCTTGTCTGACAAACATATAAATGACGGATTCTTGTTACTGCTTCCCGTGCCTGTAAGCTTGAGATTGATCGATGCTGTTTAATGGCTGATGATGATTAGGATGAGCACCAAAGCGCTGCAGTCATATTTCTACAGCAGGATGCACAGGGTGGCCGCATGTTCGATCAGAGCGTGCTTGCAGACCTCGAGCACCCATGAATGATATCTTTACTTGGAAGGAAAATAGTGCGGTTTCTATGCAGTACGCCCAATATGTCGGTACTGAACTTGTTCCAAGGGTTTCATAGGTCATCAACATTCAAGATTCCCTCACGAGTGACCATGAGCGATTGAGAGCGATAATTCAACGGATTCTGATACTCATACCACTGCAGGCACGATACAGTGCACAACGAAGGTCACAACCTGCGACGCGAACATCAGGTTGAATATTGACTACCGTTTTTGTGTTGAACCCAGAACCCAACTTTGCCGGTTGCAACGCGCAAGCAACGTTGTGCAGCGCTCATTATGAAATGAAATTGAACTTGTTTGTTCTTCCTGGACAAGTCTGAATTCAGAACCATACACCTCCAATGATTCGTATTTGATCGGGATATGTTGACCCCTACCTCCCCAAAAGTCTATATTTCCCGCACTACCATGTGACACACCAAGATTGTGCTGTTTGTTGTTAGTAGGCAGACCGCGACAGTTTTTGTCATCGAGACTCAGGCAACCGTCAAGCTTTCAAAATTTCAAGTTTCGATAGGCCATTAATTTAGACAGCACGTGCTAACCTTATGTGCTTCGAAAGTTATCCGGAAGGCTGGCCGAATCATTGATCTGGCAGCACTTAAATGCGGTACCCTTCTTCCACGATGATGATCCAAAAGTGTTACCCGTCATGCAAGCACATCAACAGTGATTGGAGGTTGTGTTGCGATACATGATTGTGCAAGAACATGGCTCGTGCATTTGTCGTTGACTAGTAGAGAGTAGACATCTTAGCGTCGGTGCATGTATATGACGTCATCTTGCTCAAGCGCTGAAACCTTGCGCCATAACTTCAAGACTGACACAGTGTCCTTCATCAATTCTATCAAGTGAGTAGTACTGGTCAAATTGTCAGTTTCATATAGTATGACGTGTCCGCTCCTTCAAACAATATGGCTCTCGAACATGCATATTATGAACACTAGTACTACTACACGTGCTAAGCGCTAAGTCACGGTAACATAATAACACGTTGATAACACGAACCCTAAGTCCAAGGCTCTTCTATATAAGCTCAACTTCGGCATGTAACGCACTAGCACCCAACTTCCTTACGAACACCGTCTCCGTCTGCAACGTAGCCAAATATTGGCATGACCTGTCTTGTGCCTGAAGAGCTTCAGATTTTTCCTCTAACGTGCCTTATTTGAAAATCAAATGTGTTTTGGGACTCTTGGCTCATCATATTTTGCAGCGATGCCGCCACTGACTTCACACCTCAACTTTCTGATCCTGAGAAGCTTGGAACTTCGTGTGGATCTGGGTCCTTTGGTGAGGTTTTTCAGGGTATTGTCGAGACAAGTAATGGCAAAGTGAAGGTCTGTCCGAGTCAGATCAACCCGAGTTCATCATCCGTCCATCTAATGAATGACCATCATCAGGTCGCAGTGAAGGTATTCAAGATTGATCCTTCGAGAGCTACGGACAAAATTGAAAATGTCAGTTGTCTGGGTTCAAATTTTACTTCGCTGAATGGTCTATGTAGGCAATACGTCGAGAACTCAAAGTGTGGCTTAGACTGAAACACCAGACCATCGTTCCGCTACTTGGCTTCGCATACGTTAATTCCTCATCCAAGTTCCCAGCTCTCGTCTCCCAATGGATGCCATCTGGAACGTTATCCGTCTACCTCAAAGAAGCTACCACCATTACTGCTTTTGCTAAAGTTGCATTGGTGAGTTCTCTTCTCAACATTACATCGAACAAGAATTCATGCTACTAGGTCAAGGGTGTTGCTGCTGGCCTCGATTATCGTTTGTGGATTTCTATCATGTCTTCCATTTCGTTCTTGACGCCTATTCAGTCCAATCAACGAATGTTGTTCACGGGGACCTTCACCCCGTATGTACGGTCGTCTCTTTGCGGATCCTACACTCATCCCCAGGCCTCAGGGAAATGTCCTCATAGATGCTTCGGGTAATCCATGCCTAACTGATTTCGGCCTTGCAACAATCGAAGGAGAAGCAGATTTGCAGTTGAATCCGACCACCGTCGCACGCATTTTCGATTCTCGATGGCGGGCGCCTGAAGTCCTTGGACTGGAATGTAATCCTCAAAAACCGACTTTCATGAGTGATATCTATTCTTTCGGTGGTATCATGTTATATGTACGATCTCTCTGTTTTTGCAGCTCTATCCTAAGTTTTCTCATCTCAGATTGTCTCGGGGGATATACCATGGAAAGAGAAGCAACATGTTCAAATCTGCGTCGCGCTATCGAATAAAGTCTTACACGCACGTCCCAAAAACATCCTCGACAATCACTGGAACTTGATTCAGAAATGCTGGTCATGGGAAGCGGGTCATCGCCCGAGCGCCACGAAAGTTCTTCAATATATCGACCAGTTTAAGGTTCCCGCCGGTCAGGGGCTGGTGGACCTGACGGGTCAGATCATTGGTCCAATAGCCGACGTTGTCGCTGCAGGTGATTTCGGAATGGCTTACAAATGTGAATGGACACGACCGACAGGTCCTATGAAGGTCTGGGCAATGCTAGTACACATTGCTGATATATTTATTGATCATCGCGCTGCAGGTTGCAGTAATAGTCATCAAGGTTCACGTATTAGAGCTATATTTACAGGTGTGAATTTGCTAAGTCTGCTGTTATGCGCAGCTTATCGTTGATTTGATAGAGCTTTCGACAGGTGGCTGAGAACTGTGCTGTCCTCATGCACGACAACATCGTTCCTGTGTTTGGGATGACAGAAGAATTTGGGTCATCTCCAGCTTTGGTTCTTCCATGGTTCCAGACCGGTACACTGCTCTGTCTCATCGCGGGACAGGGTGCTGCGTTGAACATCAGGCCGAGGCTAAATTTAGTGAGTCGCCTGTTTAGGTATAACTTCTGTATCTTAACTTAGTTTTCGTGCCGTTAGCTTCATGGCGTGATCTCTGGCCTTTGCTATCGTTCGTCTTTCATTCGTTCAAAGCTTGATTCCACTGATATGGTTGCCATTATTAGTTCATGAGTTGGGGGTGGTACATGGGGACATCACGAGTGTTCGTTCATCTTTTTGACGTGAAACTTTTCTGACGGCGAGTTTCAGTCTAACATTCTGGTTGACGTCAAGGAAGGAGAATATGTAGCGCGTTTAACAGGCTTCAGTCTGGCAACAATCTTCAGTGGCCGTTCAAGGGACCACACAATCAGATCAAATGATGGTACCATCAGGTGGACCGCGCCTGAGTTGCTGAAGGTACATGACCAACCTATTAACAGTGCACCGACCGCGCAAAGTGACATATATTCATTTGGTCGCGTCATGTTTCATGTGAGATTTATAGATCCCGAATACTCCGCACCTCTGACGTGATCGCCTGTGCGCAGGTGTTAGCACTGGTCATTCCTTGGAATGATATAAATGACATTGTAGTTCTTCAAAGAATTCTCGGAGGAGAAGACATTCCTCGTCCTGCGACACCCGATATGACAACAGCACGCTGGAATGAGATTGCGCAGTGTTGGTCGCCTGATGTATCTGCTCGTCCTTCTGCCACAATGGTCACGAGCTTCTTGAGGAGCGAACTAGAAAATTTGACGAGTAACGTATGTTTATGGGTAGTCTCTTCGCGCGGGACCAGATCCTCACGTTCTCTCACAGGATATCTCCGCTGGCGAAATGAGAGAAAGTCATTCAAATGCAATGTTTGAGGCAGAACAAGGAAATACATCCATCAATACATCCATCAATACCTCCAAATCCAAGGCCAAGCAAAATGGAAGGGGTCAACGTATTTCGGCAGACGATCTTTTCACGCTCTCAGGCTCCCAAAGAGGACTTCCCCCGGGGAGAACAGTGACTACTACGGCAGCGCGTTCCGACACTATCTATGATGACCCCGGAATACAACTGGTAGCAGAAAATCTGACAGGTCAGATCTTCGGTGGAATAAATGACTATGTTGCCAGTGGTGCATTCGCAAACATTTACAGATGTGAATGGAGACAACCGTCGGGCCCCGTCAAAAAGGTCTGGCCAGTGGGCAGTGCTGGCGTCACTTGCTGATTAGCCTGTCCATTATCGCACTATAGGTCGCAGTAAAAACCTTCAGGTACCAAATGGATCCCGCCTCAGAGCAGGACTTAAGAGTAAGGGTCAAATTTTTTCTGTTCTGAACACTGTTTTATGTGGATTCGCTAGAGGTTTCGACGAGCAACTGGAATATGGGCACACCTCGTCCATAACAATATTGTCGCATTTTATGGAACGGCAGAGGGGTTCGGACCAACCACAGCCCTTGTCTCCCAGTGGTTTCCGGACGGCACGCTGTCCCATCTGATCAGAGAACAGGGTGCTACATTGACCATCAAGTCTAAATTGAAGCTGGTAACTTAGACCTGTTTAGCTGCAATGAACCTCAACTGAATTATCCGTATTCACTAGCTTCACGGCATAGCATCTGGGCTCTACTATAGTTTGTATTTCCTTCATGGTCGTCTTGTTTCGATTAATAAATTGGCCGTTAGTTCACTCATTTTCCGTTGTTCACGGTGACATTACGAGCGTGAGCCCATCCTTTCTACATTCAATTGCTCTCACTAAACAACGTAGTCTAACGTTTTGGTAGATCTCAAAGAAGGAGAATATAAGGCTTGCCTAACAGACTTCGGTTTGTCAAATGTCCTCCACGGACGTTTAAAAATGTACGAAATTGAAGGATCAACTGTTCGGCCTGGTGCAATCAGGTGGACTGCGCCTGAGTTGCTCGGGTCACGTGATTCCCCTTCCGATATCAGACCGACCACGCAGAATGACATGTATTCCTTTGGTCGTGTCATGTTCCATGTAAGTGTAAGCGTGTCAAGTTCTCAAATTTACATTTAATGTGTCATTCATCCCAGTTGTTAACTCTGATTGCTCCTTGGCATGACATTGTCGAGTACAAAGTCCTTCAAAAAATCCAAAATGGAGAGGATGTCCCGCGTCCTGAGGTATCCGAAGCGACATCTGACGTCACAGACGCCCGCTGGGGTCATATCGAGCAGTGTTGGTCAATTGATCCACCTGCTCGTCCATGTGCCCTAACGGCTATGAACTTCATAACAGGGGAGCTAGAGGCTTTGAAACAGGATGTAAGCTCATGACTTATCTGGTCATGTAGGAGTAGAATTTCTGACCCTGATAGAACGTCCTTGTTGACGGGGTACAAGAAAGTCATCAAGATCCATACTTGGCCACGGAGCAGGTATGAACTCGTTAGCTGGTAGTTGAAGTAATTCGGTTTAAACGTTTCATCAACCAGGCTAGGATTTCGACCGTATTGTCGTTCCAGTCTTCCTCGCGAACCCTTGTTCCGTCACGCTATACCGCACCCTCTAATCCTCTAGCATACAATCTCTCCTCTTCAGTCTCATGGCTGGTGAGCGTCCACTGGTGCATTGTTTTTATGTGTACTGATCCTTCCACGCGATCAAGTCACTTGGTGGTCCTTTGAATGTGTTGCTTTTCGGAGAGACTGGAGTTGGGAAAAGCGCCATCATCAATTTGATCACGGGACGCGACGTTGCACAGATGTCGCCAGACGCAGCAACCTGCACATTGCAGTATACTCCTCACGAAGTCAGTCTTGCAGATCGCCGATTCAAACTTTGGGAAGCTTCCTCAATCGAATCAACGAGTCTTTTCCAGGCCCTTCTTGCAAAATCGCGCCTGAGAAAGGCGTACAAGAAGCTCTACAGAGATGATGGAACCTACCTTTTTTTGTATTGCATAAGGAGATCGAGGGCCCAGAGAGCACTGATCAAGGATTATAAATTCTTCACTGACATCGTTGGTTCTACGGGCACTGGGACAGGTGGCGTACCGGTCGCCGCTGTGGTTACCTGCTTGGAAGATTATCCTACGGACATGGATGTGTGGTGGACGAAAAACCAGGACAACCTAGAACGCCTCGGAATGCGGTTCTCCGCACACGGTTGTATCACTTCTCTCCCTGACGATCCAACATCCTCACCCGCAATGCGCGCACGTCGACAGCGATCAGAACAAGTTATTCGCCGTCTTATTTATGAGTCCTACAGAACAGGTATCGAAACACTTCGCAGTTCCAGTCCAGCTTTGACTAGATGAAAAGCTGTCAAGCTTGCCTGCACAATACGGTTCTTGAATGTTAGCTTCTGTAGGGCTGGGCCACTACACGTAATACTTCGAGATAACTCTCCAGCTCATTCATAGTCGGTACCCTATCATTGCTTGAATCTACCCATGTTTGCCACTACATATAATTTACTGCAAAGCAAATACAAAGTATGTAAAACGCACGCCCACAACAGACCGAGATCCCGGATCAACATCAGAGCAACAATGCAAGAAACCGTGTTTGACTACGAAATTTGAATCAGACATCCGACCGAGTAATATCAATATACAGCACCACGGCAGGTCTGCGTGTATCGAACAAATCGAAAATCGAAGTCACAAGTCATGTTATTGCAAAATGCATGTCAATGATCAGAGAAAGATGTCGGTGATGTGTCGTAGCAGGGGTTGTCAGAAGTAAGGTGGTTAGAAACATGATAATGGGAAAAGGGAAGGGACAGGAATGAAAAGGAAAAGGAACACGACGAAGAACAGAGGCGGGAATCGGAGAGAAAAGAGAAAACTCTAGAGGAAACTCTTCCTTTTCTTCTTCTTGTCTTCCTTCTTCAAAGCAATCTCAACATGCGACTCATCCACGCTCTCCCTAGCGCTTCCAGTAGGAGGCGTAGACGCACTCCCACCCGCAGTTCCGGTACCACTCCCACTGCTCGCCAGACTCACGTCTCGTACGTGAGTGTCCCGGCGTAAAACCCCAGGCAGTTTCGGAGCTTTACCGCTAAGACTTATCTTCCTCGCAAGTCTCTGGATATTGTGCGTCGAGAGGGCTCTCCTAGGTTCAGGCGAAGTCGCCCGCGGAGGCGTGGTCGCTTTCGCATCAAACGTAACATTCGCGCCATGCACATGCGCAGGTATGGCTGAACGCTCTGGATGGCTGTGAGTAGAAGGTGAGTCGGACATGGATACCGTCGTCGGGAACGTTTGGAGTAGGTCCTCAGAGATGGGGAATGATATCGGTGCGCTTGGTTTGGCTGGTAGGGATACTGGGACGACCTGGGGAGAATCGACGGCGACAGGCTCTTCGACTGCTGTGCTCCGGGTTTCAGATTCGGGTACGTCTACAACAGGGGCATCGTCATCGGCATCGTATCCAGCTGGAGCTTTGGGATCTTCGGACGCGCTGATCTGGTCTGCCCACATGGATGCAAAGAGGCCATTGAGTTCAAGAAGCTCCCTATGTGAGCCCTGTTCAACGATCCGTCCATCCTTGAGAACCATAATTCTTCAAAAGAAAACAAATCAGCACCGCATCACCAAGAAAGCACACTCAAGAAAACCACTCACACATCAGCCCCCTTAATCGTACTCAACCGATGTGCAATACTCAAACAACTCCTGCCATTTACAAGTCTCCCAAGCGCACCCTCCAACACCCCGCGCTCTGTCGCACTGTCCAACGCACTAGTAGCCTCATCCAAGAGCAACACCTTCGGGTTCTTCACCATAGTCCTGGCAATCGCCACCCGTTGCTTCTCACCACCGCTCAGCCTCACGCCCCTCTCCCCGACCTTCGTCTCATATCCCTCTGGGAAACTCATGATACGGTCATGCATCTGAGCAGCTTGGGCGCTTGAGATGATGGTGCTTTCATCAGGGGGAGTGGTGGATGGTTGGCCATAAGCGATGTTATACCCGATGCTGGCATTGAAGAGTACGGGGTCTTGGGGTACGACGCCCATTGCGCGACGCAGGCTTGAAAGCGTCACTGTGCGGATGTCTTGACCGTCAATTAGGATACGTCCTGAGCCGGGTTGGAGGTCGTAGAAGCGGTAGAGGAGGCGCAGGATGGTGCTTTTGCCTGCTCCGCTTTCGCCGACAAGGGCTACGCGCCCGCCGCGGGGAACTTTGAAGGAGATATTGTGCAGTGCGGAAGTTTGGTCATCGTAGGAGAAGGATACGTTATCTGTGTTACGTTAAGATGAATTCATGGAAACTTGGAGTAAGGGCTACGCACCAAATTCAACTTCACCGTTCGAGACCACCAATTCCTTAGCATCAGGTGCATCAACCACTTCAGTGGGCTCATTGAGAAGGTGAAGCAATTTCTCGGTATCGATGAGGCTTTGGTTGATTGCACGGTATACGCCGCCGAGGTTCGACAGAGGGAAATAGAGCTGATATGGATGGCATCGGCGTGATTGTGATTAGAAGACGTCAGCTTAATACGACACGAAAGAGATAAGATACCCACCTGCGCATAATAAGTGATGAACACCACAAAGTCGCTAGTATTACTCTGTCCCCTTGTGATGCGCGACGCGACGATCAAGGAACCGACCAGAAGACCAGAGGTGATGATGAGCGTTTGCACGAGGTTCAGGAGGTTGAGAGATACTACAGGTGTGATCAGCATTTGCGTTCGCCATTGAAATGAAACTTTGAAAATGAAAAACAACTTGGAAGCGAGACGCGATTTTGGAAATGAGATGAGGCAAAAACACTCACGAACAACCCTCTTCTCCAAACTCTGATACTCCTCGATAGCCTCCGTATATCTCTGCGCCTCATACTCCTCCCCACCGAAATACTTGACAGTCTCATAATTGAGGAGACAATCCGTATGGATCCCACGCATGTTCTGAGCAGGCAAAGAGTCAAGATCCTCTCCATAGACAATGAATAGCACTGAACACTCACCACATCCCGCTCATTCATCAGTCTCCGTATCCTAGTCCTATACCTCGTGAGCACGACGCTCGCCCAGATATAACTCCCCATCACGACTCCAACCACAGCGCCCAACGCAGGTTCGAACTTGACGACAAACACAACGAGCGCAACACATATATCCACGAGTGCAGGAACCACTGTGAACCCAATAAGCTCGCCAACGCGGTTTATTGCGCTTCCTCTATCGAGAATACGGAGCAGCTCGCCAGTCTTGCGTTTTGTGTGCCAGCTGAGAGAAAGAGCCAGGACATGGTTGAATGAGAGCATCGACATGCTGCGGTCGCTGTATTGCATGAGTGGGATCCAGAGTGCATCGCGGAAAGCTGCGAGACCGCCTGAAGAAGCAAGGAAGCGGAGCACGACGTAGGCAATTAGGTACGGCCATGGGCTTGAACCAAATGCAGGGAATGGAGCTACGCCTGGTGTGTCGAATGTGGTGATGAGTGCGCCAAGTACGAAAGGAAGAAAGGCGTTGACTACGCGTCCTAGAACAAGGATGAAGAAACAGGCCAACTGCAGAACTATCAGTTTGAGTGATGAAAATGCAAGGGAGGTACGTACTGCGATGAATTGCAGCTTTGGATAGCGGGAAGGCCAGAGATGAGGCGCGATGCGAGATAGACGAGAGAAGAGTTCGCGCCATGAGGGATCGACAGCTACTTCGCGTGGGGTTGTCTGTGGAAACGTTAGGTTGCGTTACACTAGATTGACAGCTCTGCTGACCTTATTTGGCTCTCGTACACCTGGAACTGGGGACGCGCAGCGGGTGGTAGGACCGCTTCTGGATGTAAAAGTGCCATATTTGGCGGTACTACTGGGACCGTCAGGGTCGGTATCTTCTGGTTGCAGCAATAATGATTGATGAGGAACGTGTTGCGATATAAGAGGAGCGGTCTCATCAACTTCTTCTGTGTAACCATGTGATTGGGCAGAAAGGTAAACGACACGAGGGAAAAAGAGTGCCACGAGGAGAGGAAGGAGTGCAAGTACACGTGCAAGAGGCAGGACACCATGCAAAAGATTGGGTACACATGACCGGATAGGCGATGTGCAAATATGATGCAAGTCTGAATTTAATTGATTGATAGAGTTAATGAATTGAAATGATAAGCGAGTAGGAACGAACCTATTCTCATCAAGGAGAGGACGACCTGGACGATGTCAAGTGCGAGAGCGATAGCTACTGCGACCTTAACTCGACGTCGATTCCAAATCCCGTCATCGCGTGTGTCCTTCCATGCGCCTAGAGCTGCCAAGCCGGCATACGCTAGCAAACCCAAAACACTTGCAATTTCGATGCCAGTGCCTTTAAGCCAAACTTTGTTAAGGACAACAGAGACGACGTATGCAAGACCATCTGCTAAGAAAGTGAAAGCGCTGATGCTGAGAAAAACAAGAATGAGTGTTCTCCGTGGGACGCGAGATGCAACGACGACGGGTGTTATTGGACTTTGAGTTTGGTGATCAAGGCGCTTAGAAGATATGAGGGAGAGGGTAGCTAGGAAGACGACGGCGGGAGAGGCGACGCGCGCACCGAGTAGCACGGCGGTGGTAATGGGGACGGGTAGCATGATCATCGTCCAAGAATCAAAACCTAGCAGGGAGGCCTGCCACCGATTTTTTTTTTTGATGGACAGTCGGGTTTTGATATAAGCTTGTGGCTGTGCTTAGTACTAAACTGTTGTGAAATCACAACGCGTTAGGCACGCCGCACGCGAGTACACGGAACTAAACGTCAACGAGGGGACTGGCACAGGCGACGACCAGGCTTCAACTGGCGATGTTAAAGGTTAGTAGTGATAAAGTTAAGTGACGCTCAACCAAAATATACGTGGTTGGACAAGCCCGGGCATCAGCTCGGGCAAGAAATTCGATTATCTGTGGTCTGACACGTGGCAAGTAACCCTGCCTCACCTCCTCCGCATTTCATTCATTTGTCATAGCCGATTACTAGGCCTGCTGCGCATACGGTACAAATAGTACGTCCAAGCTGTTTCCATTCCACCCTTTCACATCGAACACGCGGATCATGTCTCCTATTAATCCCAACGTTGTTCATGAATGTCAGCGCTCTCCATGCGCTAACAGCGAGGCGGCTGACCTCTCTTGTTAAATCGTCTTTGACGGTTTTGCCATGTCTCAAAACGTATAATACCTCTCCGTTCAAAGTTCTGTCATTGTCTTGCGATAACAACCAACCCCTTTCGGGCTCGACTGCGCCCCAGCATGCCAAGACCGGTTCAGTCCCCGAGGTCGTCGTGTACAACAACCCCCAACTACGTTACCCCACCCGATGCTGTAAGTCTTTCCGTGACTCATCTAGCACAGGCCTATGCAGCCGAAGTCAAAGCCAACGGGGTACAAGTATAATTATCACCTCATCCTCGCACACCCGTCGGTTACACATCATATCCACCCTGTTCGCACGCAATTCGCCCGCGCGCATCTTTACAGGTCTACAGGAAGCCCTCCTAGTATGTCACTTCGATGACTTTGGAAGTTTTATCATCGTGGTATCTTGTTCATTCTGGCGCAGGCCAAGCCGAAATCAACCCAACGGGTCTGCGATTCTTGTCGGCCGAGCATCATATCCGTATGAAGGGAACAATCCGGTTTTTTTTCTGCTTCTCCCCTTCTACTCATGCATTCAGCCGGCGTTTAAATGTTTTGAAATATCTTTTTGTGCTCAGATTTCATTATCACTTTCGAAGCACAGTATCTACCTCGCCGATCCACGTGACCTCTCGTAATTCCACTGCACGTTACCAATTGACGTTACTCGGATACTCAATGCCGATCCACGTATGCCCCCCTACTAGGGACTGGGTTCCCTTGCTTACCTACTCACTCCGCCTCCATATCTACCTGTGCCGAATCGCCACTCTACTCCCCCGCCGCCTCATGCCTCACCCCAACCCCTAAATCCAAATCTTACTCGCTCACTAACTCCGAGCCCCAAACCACACATACAATCACATGAATCAATCAACACTACTATAGAATTTGCCATCACCATACCAACCAAGCAACCAACCTGGCAGTACCTCGGTCATGACATTAACGATCCATTGTACACCTCGGGCTCATCCCCCATGCCCGAATTCATTTTACTGTCGAATCGGATATGCAATGTGTAACTAGATCTCATCGTACATTTTGAATTGGATGCCGGATGACATCATTCATGGTTCTGTGTCAATCTCATTGATTGACTAGACTACTATGTTTGCGTGGTAGGCCAAGGTATTGTCGGAGCGTCGGTGTGAGTGCTAATGTGGTAACCTAGGTGAGTACTCGGTGAGAGTGGTTTGATATTTTGACGAATATGAGCTTGCAGGAAGTGCGATAAATCATTGCCACGCTCTGACATTTTCCAACACCTACTCAAAATTTACTTCACACACTTGACTGCTTCCTGGTTTACCCCAATAAGACTTCACGTTACACGGGCACTTTGTAAGCAATCTATTGTCGAACCTGCACTAGTATAGTGCGAGCACTCAATTCCAACACAATGGATGCCGGACGCTGACATCATTCATGGTTCTGCGTCAATCTTGCTGATGCCAATCGGGGGCCGGTTCTCCTGTACGCATACAGGAGCAGCATTTGCAGAAAAGTCGGTGAGTGAGTACCCTATTGATGTTTGATGTGATATCGACTTCAATCAAAGTCGTTCGGGCGCACTGATTTAGAACAGAACGTTATAGTCCAGTTTCGTCTCTGCAGGAGTACGGTTCGGAAACGGCCGTACACGGATGATAATTGTGACTAAGTGGGTTTGGCGTTCGGCCCATACTGAAGGCTGGCCGAACCTGGGAGATGAAGCTTCCTGTTTCCCCAGTAGTCCAACCTGTAAACCACCGCTGGTGGGTCATGAGAATGCAGCTGGTCAGGTATAAACATGGCTGCAGTCGTGCACGGACCATTTACTCCCACTAGCTTTGTATAAAGGCTCAGTGGTATTCTCCTGGCCTCCAAACAGAACGAGAAGAACGGCGCGGTAGGGGTAGCCCCCTGACACTAAGTTTCGCAGGTCCGAAACCGCTGCCACTAGCGCTTCTAGCGTCCCTCTCAGCCTAGTCAACAGACCCTTATCTCAAGAGGCGGATGAAAGGGCACGATCTACCTCGCGACGCTCAACTGGACGCTCTGACTTTGGCTTCACTTCGTAGCTAGTCTTTCGTTCTTGTCAAGGTTTTTACCACTCTCTTACGTCGTAGACGGACGCTTTCTAACTTAACTTACACAGTTAGCATCGTCTTGGTTTACCCCAACAGGCTTTCCACATCAAGGAAAGCCTTATAATGTTGACGCCACTTCCTAGCTAGTCGCTAATTCTCGTTAAAGTTAGCGCTCTCCTAGTACGTCGTGAACTGACACCCTCTAACTTAGCTCACACACTTAGCATCGTCTTGGTCTACCCGAACAGGCTTTCCACATCAAGTGAAAGCCCTAAAATGCTGTCGACCATCGATTCATTCCCAGCCTAAACAGCGCATCCGATTTCGGGCAAATTCCCTTGAGTCAAGTCGCATTCTGTTCTATCTCCGCTGGACCTCGTACGTCCGAAATCCGAATCCGAATCCAAATGCACTAGGATAACTCTTGTCGACACTTTCAGCAAGGCCAAGACGCGTTATCACAACTATTGGACTATCTATTCGCAACCAAATGTACCGGGAAGTACTTTGTTTTGAATAGCTAGTCAAATGTTGTGCGAGGATATTCCGATGTTATGTCATCTTGGGACGTCCAGTCCTCCGACTTGAAACGCCTGGCCTGTAGCATGTATATGCACACTCATTAACGGGCCATCGCATGATCTAATGTCTCCTCAGATGAGTAGTACGTTGAAAGCTACTCACGAGTTTGTCAGGAATTTATGCGGCGTCTATAGTGAGACGAGAAGCAGAGGGGACAGTGATGTGCTCATACGACACTTCAGTTGCATTATGGACTGCGCAAAGTCGTATCGCCCATATTCTGGAAGTCATTCGATCTTGTTTATCAATACAGCCCACTTGTAGCACTGGAATTTTCGAGTGGAGATACTAGTGTTACGCTATTTGCGTCAGTTGCGAGAGCAAGTGACTAGGCATGCCTTCGAATGGAGTTTACGGGTTTCCCCGCAGACACTCCCATATCAAGGAACAGAGGGTTGTACAACTGGTGCAATGAAAAAAGTAAGTTGATGATGAGTGCAGACCTTCAAGTCGTTTCATTGAACTATGACGGAAACCGACTGATTCTCACAAGTCTGTATCTCTGTACAGGTATCATCAGTACGTGAACAAAGTTAACTTCAGCATGCTTATCTCGCAAAAGGTCCGTTCGGGATTTCACATAGATATTGAAATGAAAACGCACTCAAGATGACGCCGACTTTGCAATTGAAGCTTTGCGGGGTGACTGACCCTTTTAGTATACGGTGTGGACCGGACTTGCTGTATGCCGCACTATCTATCAGAGTTGCAGGTATCCGGAACTAGATGAGACGAGCAATAGAATTGGATGCCTTGATAACACTTTTGTTGTTGTCAGGACAGCAGCGCGCGGACTCGCTCTTCTATACATAAATCAGTAGCTGCTTCCAGGTGTTTCGCCGTGTTGTGTAGAATGAATTGAAGGTCCCTCATGTGGATCGATTCCTTTTGATAGAAGGGATGCTGATCAATATCGGGGTCGTCTGGCGCAGGGTGATGACCATTGGAATCAACGAGTTTACAGTCTCTGGATTCAAAATTTGGACCGTGCCCAGACGGTGATAGCTGGTACAAGGCGCGGGGGCAAGTATGTCCTGGGAATCTGAGTGTTTGTGACTATGTACGGCGGATGCCGATCTGGCGTAATGAAATTTCCCCTGATTTGAACGATTTGAGTTTGATCGTGACAGATTATTAGCGCACTTACCAAAACGCCGGGTATCGTGGTCCATGTGTCGCGTGCTCGTAGGGTTAGACAATTGTCCTTGTTGTTGGCATTTTCAAATCGGGTCTGGCTTGGCTCTGCCACAGCGCTGGTAATGATAAATATCTTGATTGAACACCAAGCGCGTTTTTGACGCAGCGGCGCCACTGCCAAAGGTAAGAATGCACTTGGAGCATTGACCTGCAATACAGCACTGATCAGCAGGACGACCCGGGATGTCCATTCAAGAACGTTCAGGAGTTATGGCCACGCAAGGCACACAGCAGTACGGTAGATGCCGTGGACAGGGCTCCTGCCGGCAAACAAAGCGATCCGACACGCAGACCATGTGATTCAACCGAAGGGGCGTAGCTCCTATGTGAATCCAAAACATTGTATGTATGTATGATAGACACATGGCCTGTACGATACGATACGATACGATACGCGGAGGTCGGTCAACGATTTGAAATCAAACTCAACCCTCAAATGTGTTTAGGTACTGAATGGACCACCCTCCGTTAGCCGATACACCGGATATTACTGCCGATAAATATACTTATCCACTCGAACGTTGATAACGCTGCCAAGTCCTTTTCAACACCGCAGAAATCCTTCTACTCGGATATACCCGAGCGTTAACGAGGGCTCTTTGCGGCGTCGCCCGTGTCAGGTTCGTGTCTGATAGGGAATTCAAGCTGATATGAGCCACCTAGATGACCGTCTCCGTCCCGTGCTATAGAGCCTAGATCACAAGGCCTTGAGGTCGCCGTCTTTACCAACCTGCCAAGCATAAAATGACTCTTTGTGGTGGAACGCGGAGGTAACTCGATCAATACAAACCTAATTCGGAAATTAGTATAGAGCAAAGTCATTAGAGTTCAGACCGGAGTTTGAAATAAAGGGGCTTGAATATAAGGGTGATCGTCGATAAATCCTTTTCATTCAAACTCTCTTTCGAACCTCCACGTTCCGTTCCAGGTCTCCGTTTCGTTCAGTTCTCGTGTAACAGTTTTCGAGACTCTATTGTATTACCAGTGATCTCCTTCACTATGTCACAATCAAGTGCAAAAATCTACGTTGGGTCAGTCTATGTCGTCCGACTTGTTTTGCAAGCGCTTCTCTCGTCTCCCCGGCGGAGAGAAGCGAAACTGATACCTCAAATTCTTTCTTTCTTCATATAGAAATTTGAGTTGGAACACCACTGATGACACGTTGCGCAATGTCAGTTATATACGATTGTGACCGGCGGGCTCTTGATTCCCGGGCTGCTTCGCTATGTCATCTTCGTCTGAAATTGTTCTCGAGTTGCATGTTCTTACCTGTTTTCGGTCTTGGGACCTTGCACAATATAGGCTTTCAGCGGTTATGGACCAGTGCTTGACGTGCGCGAGTTATCTTACCCAGTCGTCCTTTTTGATTGAGTTGATCCGTTCAGTCTATTGTCATGCGTGACCGTGACACTGGTCGTTCCCGGGGTTTTGGCTTTGTCACCTACGGAACCACTGAGGAAGCAAACCATGCTATTGCCAACATGAATGAGCAGGAGCTTGATGGCAGGAGGATAAAAGTAAATCTTGCTAATCCCCGTAGCTCCGGAACAGGTGGTGCTAGCGCAGGCGGCGCAGGATTTGGAGGTGGTTATGGTGGCGCAGGCGGCTACTCTGGTTCGTAGCAAGTTTGCAAACATATCAAGCGTCTTGAACATCTCTTCAGGTGGTGGCGGATATGGTCAACAACCTACCTATGGAGGTCAGGGCGGTTATGCTGGAGGCCAAGGTGGGTACGGTCAAGGTGGCTATGGAGGAGGCTACCCAGGTGAGACCGCTCTACACTTATCTTTTCCAATTTTGATGTAATTTCCAAGCCACGGGGTATGCAGGCGGTTTTGCTCCCACTGGTTACAGTACCCAACAAGGTTATGGTCAGCAAGGTGGAAACGGCAATCCAGGAAGTTACGGCCGTGGTTATTGATCAAGTGTTGATCATCTCTGGCACATACATTTCTTATCTCCACTATCGAAATAAGCTGAAGCATGTGCTACCAGCTCTCCCTTTGGACATGACATGCTCTTTTTTCTTATTCACATCCACACCCTACTTGCACATGTCCAGTATTCTCTCCTCTCATTTTTAGTCTGAACTCTATTACGATTCAGCTTGTACTTGTATCTTCAGATATATCCATCCCATGCCCTCGTCCGAAGCACCATCCATCATAGCGCTTTTCCAGATTCAGAAGGAACGACCGTCTTTTTATAAGTATAGGAGACTAATGTCCTGTATTTGGGAGGGGTATTTTAGATAATGTGTGGTCGGGTACCGATGTCATAAAGTCATCCAACTATAACAGGTTAGAACGAACCATGATGACCGAATGCGTTGACCGAAAGGTACAAGTGCTTTGCATTAAAAAGTTCACTCCTTGATTTGGACGCAACGTGTTTGTATGTATTTGGTGGATGTAAAATGCGAACCATTCCTCTACCAGAACCTCTAACCCTAACCACAACTAGACTGGTGACCAGCCAGTCTAAACCACAACAGCTACTGTCTGATTGTCACACTGCCCAAGTGCACCAAGTCTCGTCGGGCAACAATTGTATGTTTTATCTCCTTTGATTGAGAATACGAGGCTTGCCACGACGACGAGCAAATGGATATCTTGTATGTCCGAAATCTTGGTGAAGTGTCAAATTTTGTAGATCACCCAGCGTTGAACTCGAGTTATTTCGGCAACTGTCTTCCGTTGCCAGACAATAACCCGGAATTCTGTGAGGTGTGTAGACATACTAGAGTGTGACAGGTCACACGGCAAGCGAGAATATTCAGAGGTTTTGGTGGGTACAAATATATGTAAACGTGTTGCGTCCAAATCACCTTGGGAGTGAACTTTTTAATGCAAAGCACTGTAAAGCGCAGGGGCTCCAACATATTTAAATTGCACTACGACCCCTCTGCCCAGAGTCAATAAATAGTCACTGGCAGGTTTCCGCATGTTCGCAGCGTAGCATCGACCATCTCCTCGTACGCATGAATTGCTCTGACCCAGGCTACCATTATTGCCAACCAAGTTAACGAAAATACTAAGATAATAGGTAAATAGAACTCTGCGAGTCTTGTTTCCTTCAAGCCTTGTCAACCCGCGTCAACCCGCACACTGACCCAAAAAAAAAATCTCTTCTCAAGACTTAGTAGTCTCCCCTGCTGTCGCTTCTAGAACGGGAAGCACACAATTCGCCGTGTCTTCGTTACGTCTACCTTCACTTCTCACTCCTCCCTCGCATCCCCTTTCGCGATATTCTCTTCGCTTCCATCACTGACAATTGTTGCCTCGACACGACCTCGAGCCGTGTCGGTGCGGTAGAAGACCAAGACGGCCAGCGTAGCAATAGAGATGCAAGTGAGCATAAACCAGAACCCAGCAGACTGGCCGTCATAATTCGACGGACCCCCATTCCCAGTTTGCACGCTCGTCTGGATAGTGCATACGGCAGCCAATCCGACGGCGGAACCGAGTTGCAGACCGCAGTTGAACATGGCGCCTACGGTGCCTGCCATAGAGGGGGGCGTGGCTCGGAACATCGCGATGCTGTGCAAGTTGATATTAATACGCGTGCTGTGAGAATAAGATTGAGACCCACTTTGCGGAGATGTTGGTTAGCATTGCACCAGCAGAACCGATGATGAAGCCTGGGAATACCAATAGCCAGTACTTGTCAGGTCCGTCTGCAAAGGCAAACAACACCAGTGCCGTCATCATCATCGTTGCTCCGCCAAGTATCAGCCATTTGGCGTTCATGCCGCTGAGCCCCTTCACCCTACTGGCAAAACTGAAGACAAAGGCGATGATGCCTATTGGAAGCCTGAAAGAACGTTAGCACCGTCAGATCACTGCACTCAAACACGCGGTCTTTACTCACATGTGGACAGCAGAGGACATGGCGCTCCATCGGTAAATATCTTGCCACAGGGACACGTAGGTGGTGAATATATTTGCCCACCAAAAATATGGTAGGAGAGCCGTTCCGAACAGAACAGAAAAATTCGGAATAAACCATGTGGAAGGCGGTCTGCGAATCAGTCTGAATCAGAGAAAATTTGAACGATCGAGCAGACATACACGGCCGCGCAATCAATCGGCTGGCAGGCCTCCCAGTAAAAGAATGCAACAGTCATGGCGATGGAGAAGATTAAAGGTGCTAGTGTGGTAACTGATCTCCATCCTATCATAGACCCTGTCGTCACAGCAAATATAAAGAGTATAACAGCAACTGACCATGTGCTCAGTATGGTGTGAACAGACGATCTGAAATCATGACTGACCTGTAAGAATTGATATTCCAATAACATCAAGACTCCTGAATTTGGCGAAACCGCTCTTTCGAACATTATCTCTTGTTTGTGAAGGTATAAGTACCGCAGAAATGAATGTGGTTGGTATGATCACCGCCGACACAAACCAGAATACCCAGCTCCAGCTGACATATTCGACGAAAAAGGCACCAGAAATTAAACCCAACACTGAAATATTCGTCGTGAGTACCTAGACCACTTTAGGAAGTAGGGATCGCTGACCGATGCCAATCGCTGACCGATGCCAATCGCCCCCCAAGCTCCAAACGCTGCAATAGCCATTGCTTGATGCCTAGGCTCAGGAAAAAGTCCGACGAGCAGAGCTAGAGCCGATGGTATGGTGAGCGATGCGGCTACAATGATCAAGTGAGCCTTCAGTCTCGTGACGGTAGCGAAGGAACGCAACCGATTCCACTTAGGGCTCTCAGTGCAAGGAATAAGATACCATCGGAGACGAAACCGATGCCGATACAGATTACCCCTAATATGAATTTACCGGTTATGAAGGTGTATTCTTCATACAAAGTTAATCCGACGCTAAAAATAACTTCTGGAAGACTCACTAGGGCTATAGATGTCGCTGATTTTTCCGCTCTATAGATATGATTAAAATCCTTTCGTCAGCTATGAAGGCAGGTCCGGGACTGACCATAAGGAGGAAGGATGCAAAAGTCAACTGGTATGCGCTAATGATCCAAACTGATTGGCTTTGGGTGAAGCCAAACTTCCGGACAAGGGAAGGGATAGCGGAAAACAATGCCGAGTTGGTGAGGGTATATAAAAACTGCGTAATGCAGAAGATCAAAAGCAGAGTATATCTGCGCGCGTTCGAAGGCACTGGGCGCGGAAGGACAACTTCGCCGTCGCCATCAAAGGTCATGGGTGACGAGCTGCAGAGTTTCTGTTCGTTCAGAGTCATACTGAAGACTCGAATGTTGTACTAGTAGAAAGGAGTGCGATAGACAGTTGGGAGGTTGAGCTGGGCATTACACTTGACCCTTTTATAATGGCTCTGGGTGCGGCCTAGTACTGTACAAATAACCACTGAAAGGCTGCCACGGACTCGGACATACGAAACTCCAGGCTATACCCTATTGCCATGTCAGTAAGTTCAATGATGGTATTTGGTTACGCCGGACCTTCGCTAACTTTGAAGTTCTCACTATCTGGGGATAAATGTTGTACTTGGGGGGATCCACTACTAAGTAGCCAAGACAGCCATGTCTTCTTGGATTCCACGAATCGTGATAATCAATATTGAATGGCGCAACGTAAGTGTTTGGGAATAATAGCCCGAGACGACCACAAATGTTGATGTGGCCACGTCGGAGTTGTTGATCAACTTGTCCCACATCCAAGCGAACAAAGTTGACTGGATGATTGATCGAGGGATTTTCATAATTGCCGGAGTTCAACATCTGGCCACAGTCCACAGTCACGCGGTGCTTTAATATATATAAGGCACAAGTCTAATTCGCAACACCTCCTACATTTCTTTCCAACTCCAACTTGCCGTCATGCCTCCAACTCGCTCAGCTAGCCAACAACGCTTTCTTCCAAACGAATCACCTACACGAAACGGCCGGTCGAAACCAAAATCAAACTCGGCTACTATTCCTGAACATGAAGTCATCATCTTGTCTTCGGATAATGAGAATGCCCGGCCCAAAATTGGTTCATCATCAAAATCCAAAAGGAAGCCTTACAAGAGGCCCTTACCGACGCGCGAAGTTTTGGAGATATCGTCGTCCTCGGATGAAGGGCCAATGCTTCCAAAGGCGCTGGGAAATGACACCTCATATTGGCAGCGGGAGAATTCAAAAATCAAGCAGGTACGTCTCAGATGAACTGAATTTCAATTCCGTACTGATAGGAAGCCATTAGGTGACAGAAGACTTAGAGCGGCAGGTCGCTGACCAGCGCATACAACTCGACAATTTGAAGATGCGTCTCGAGGAGCAAAGTCAAGAACTTGTCGCACAATCTCAGGAAATTGATGCCAGTCATCAGGAAATCCATTTGCAGCAGGAGAAACTTTCTGCCTTGCAAGCAAAAGGCATATCGGAATCGACCATAGTACGTGCTCTTTTCTGTCTTTTCTCATGCTCTTCTAACTTGTATATTTAGGATGCTACCAAGTTGGGCGACATGCTATCTTGCGATATATGCGCGCATTTGATGCACTCTCCTTACCTGTACGTTCTCATTTCACTTGTTTTCTGTGCACTAACCTGTTTGTTCTAGTCTTCTTGATTGCGGGCACTCTTACTGCGAGGGATGCCTCAAAGGCTGGTTCGATGAAACACTCACTAAACATACTCGCGCACATCCCGGATACAACGTGAATCGCCGATTTGTGCCTCGCAATCTTCCTCAAGTTCTTAACGCCATTAGTCCATACATCTCGTACCCGATTCAGATGTCGCTGCAGGCGATGTATAATGTTTCCCGACAACAGCAGCCGGAGTATACCTGCCCAGGATGTCGGACGGAGATCACAGGAAAACCAGTTGTAAACTTTGCAGTCAAAGATATGGTTTCGATCGTCGGGAGCGTTCTTCGGCAACCTGACACTCGCCGGGAGTCTTCTACTATTGGTCATGGACAGCAGGCAGGTCCATTTGACGGCTTTTTCCCTCGATAATTGGCTCTAGTGTACTGTACAGAAATCCTTCATCCTTCTACGTTATTCGCATATTCTATCATACGTATGTATACCATAAACTAAACTATGGTACAACACCTGCACTGTATGCATCATTATACCAGACACAATGTAAACAAGACAACATGCTGATTCACATGATCAAGACGGGCCAAAAAGGTATATGCAATTACTTTGTCTTTGGTTTGGGCTTCATTTTGGCCTTCTTCAAGTTTGCTGATGCAGGCCCCTCAATTATTTCCACCTCGTCGTCATCATCCACAGAAGCCGAAGCTTTTCGTTTGCGCCCTGCCGCTGGACCAGAACCAATACCACTCTCCCCGGTACCTTCCCTCGTAGAAACGGCAGACC